ATACTGAAAAAATGGGCAAGTTTATAGATGGGGTCTGAAAATGCAAAATAAACTATAGGATGGCAGAACAAATAAAGATGAACCCAGCTTCAACAAAAACAACCACATGTTACAGTATTAACAAACATCTCGAGCGCGTGTCAAACTGCTATCAATTGTGTATAAGGCAGGTGCTGGACGGGCTCAATCTGGCCTCATAAAGGAGCACATCAGCATTCCTGTGGAGCTAATTGGCCTCAGAGTGCCCTGGTGTGGCTGAGTGTGCGAGGGAGGGCGGAGGGCATCAAAGTGGCAGGATCAGTGCAGATTCACACAGCAGTCCGGCGGCCGCAGGGGTCTGGAGCCGCGGCGTCTAACCCCCTAATGAGAGGCCATGACACGGAGACATCCACACACTTTTTGACCCCTGAGGACCAGCTGGAAAAGAGTCCCACATGCCTATCCCCCTCATCACCCCCACCACCCACCTAACAGGGGAGTAGCCAGTGCAGCTTAGGAAATGCAGACCACTTACTTTACACATGAGTCCACTAGTTACTGTTGTAATGAGATGGAAATTTAACAGGATAATAGAGGGATGGGGTGATTACCTGGATTAAAGCTGGGGTACCTAACTTTTAAACCACAAAACAATGGAGCTATGTACTAAAAGCCATAGATCCAATTGCTCTCAAACAGTTTGGTTCTACAAACAAGTCAAACAAGTGATCACATGCATGTATTTTTTGGCTTCTGTTACCGCTAGCTTTAGATCAGCTTTTACAGACAAATAAGTGAAAAAGAGAGGACCACCCTCTCTTACCCAAACAGCTCTTACATCAAATAGTGACTCGCAGAGCTCTTTGCAAAAGATAACATGTTTTTATATTATGGACTCAGTAGATCACAACATTCTACTTTTACCAGACTAGTTTTTCCTTCCTGCTGCTGTCAAATCTGTAGTAAATACTACAATTTCAAAATATCCACTGAATGCCACTTTATCTACTATTATCCTGCCAGATGGGTACATATTTACGTATATTGAAGCATTTTCAGCTAGAGTATAGCAGTTATTTATATTGTGTGTTTTGTGTGCTCCCTGTGTGTTCTTACTACTGTCCTGTATGTGCACTGCAACATTGAAATTTCCCCACTGGGACGAATAAAGGTTCTCATTGTTGTCAGGACAAATGATTCCAGCTTGTGGTAGTACAATGCCCTCTGCACTGGAAACGGTGGTCAGCTGAGGCTGTGAGGGTCTGATTCATGAACCGGCTGGAGGTCTGGAGTCTCTGCCTCATCTCTTCCGAGTCCTGTTTCGTACCTGTGGCTGCAGACTGCTCTCTGCTCCTGATGTAGATGGCCCCTCATATTTTGCTCCCTGTACTGGCTTCACCGGCATGCTGCCCAAAGTATTCTATGGTTTTACCAATTTTATGTGACTATGCCACCACTTACCCATTCATAAGAAATGAATGGGTAAGTGGTAGTTTGGGATGGGTCAGTTGACGGGTTGATAGGCATGTACCTGATTGGTACCACTAACCAAAAGAGGGAAGTTGAATATTACATTACACACTGAGATTTTTCAACAAATACATGCTCTGTATTTGCCTCAGAGCTGATAAAATACAGAAGATAACATTTTGGAACTTCAGCTGTGAAAAAACAGCCCTTGTGGCCCTCTGTTTGGGCACTGCTCACAGACTGCATCCTCAAACCACTCCCAGTTTTCCCCTCCCTGAACTCCACACATTCCAGGGACCGGGATAGTTCACAGTCATCACCAGATTGGTTTTGTCTGTTCCCAAATATACCTTAATCCAGAGCAGACGCAGACGGGCTGGGACCACAGACTGTATGAAAGGGCCTATGGCTGGGACAGACAAGAATGTTCAAGGACTCACACTGGGGCATATGCGGAGACACCTGCGAGCCTCGTCTTTCTACTTACCATTATCAATGTTTTTTATTAGCAATAGATTTTTAAAGATTCCCATGAAAAAGAGTGAAACAAAAATATTACTATCTGGATTGATTGTAAGCCATGTATTTTTCAAACTTTAATCTTTTGCAATTAACTTCAATTTAAAACTAATTTAATTATAATTTCTATACCATGCTGGTGATTTATAATGCTTATTTTTGGATAGCACGACACTATAACAAATAAATGAGCTTAAAGACTGAAATCTGAACCCAAATGAATGGTGCATAAATAGTACTTTTTAATGGAACCAGATTTTGTCTGTAAACAATCAAAATGTTCAAAAAAACTATAGGAAACTAGCAATAATACTCTGTTATCTTACCTTGTTCTATATAGACAAACATTCTTAGAACATATTCATGTCAATTTGTATAACATGTTCCCCTCAGAGTTCTCTTTTCCCTCCCCCTAAAAACATGCACAATAGGAGTGTGTGTGTGAGTGAGACTATAGATGAAAATGACATACAAAGATTGTGTATTTGCAGTTACAGTTCATCAATACAGTGTTCCATCAAAATAAAATACAAATATTTAGACATGTTTATCGTAATCTGTATGCTCGTCTTGGAATGTGTGCGTAATTCTAAGTCCAACACAACATTTTTCTCTTATATATTTTCCAGAGCTTGGAAATTGGATTTTCCGTATCTTGTATCTTCGGGACTACGGATGAAAAATAGCCGCTTGGCTAATTCTGGAATATTTACAGAAATGTTCATTAATATGCACTGTCCCTGTGATAAATACGTGAATAAATCTAAATGTTCTATGTTATCTCTCATCTAGGAAGAGGGTATGTGTGGAAGTATGTGGATGATAAAAGCCAAAGTGTTCCCAAATACTGCCCTTTTCAAACTTGAAAGATTTCATTCAATTTGTTCGAGATTTGAAAGTGAGGTACCCCAGCTTCAACAAGAAGCTGGGGTACCTCAATCTACCTAAGAAATAGTGGAAGTCTTGAAATTCTGTTATGTTATATGAAACCCATAGCAATTCTTTCAAATGATCTGAAGATGTAACAGAGGCCAAACATACGTGTGAAATCTAGAGAGTTTTAATGCCACAATATCTCCCTCATCGTCCAGTTCAAAGCTTACTCAGCTTTAGCTATGGCTCCATCCAATTTAATATCTTTTGAACGATTTATCAAGCCTTCCTTGCTTACAGACCTGTAGAATATGTGATATGAACTAAGAAACCATAAAAAATAGCTTTGAAACTCTATAGTCCCCTTTGTATTTTGTATTTGATAAGGGACAGTCAGAAAGGCAAGTGCAGCAGCCACAGAGGGGGGGCTAGAGGCTGGAGAGAAGAGCCACCTTACAACAGCTGGTCCCAATTATCCACGGAGAGACTGGTGCATGTGTGTACGTATGCAGGACCCAAGCATCACAGGGGAAGGCTGAGAACAGTGGCGCCAGGAGGGGAGCAAAGGGTCAGGGAGGATGAAGATTATAAAAATACTAGCGGGCAGTTGGCCTTGCGAGAATGCCGCATTCGCCAATCCAGTAAGCAGGCTCGCCCAGAACATGTTTGTGTCAAAATATTGAAATAGGTGTCACATGATATCACATTTCAAAAGCCAATGGTCTTTAATACAGAAAAAGTAAGTGGGATATTAAATAGAAATTACATGAACTACCAATTTTGATATGAGTTTTTGGTAAATGTTAAAATTATACACAGAAATATTGTTTTTAGTCATAATGGAGTTTTCTGTCCAAATAATTGCTGTTTTTTTCAATGATCAAAATCAAGCTTTAAGTTCAGTATTGCAGCAACCCTAATTTACTTGCAGTAAAATCCACTGATCAATACTGGTTCTTCTGTTGATGCCCAATATGAATGGCATCCCCCCCCCTTCTACTAATCACATACTGTAGTTTAACAATTGTGCATTCTGAGTGTAATTACAGAACAACTTTATGCCAGCCAAAATTAAAATGCAATTATTTTGTGTTAAAAATCAGCAAATAAATAGTCCTAGTACACCACTTGGTTGTACGGCTCAGGCAGGAGAACAGCTAAACTGACACAGGACAGAGACCAGAGCCAACACATTATCCTGGATTGGAACAGATAGTCGATACCAGTATCTAGTTAAAATGTTTGCAGCATCACAGATCTGGTATGACATCACAATATAGAACTCCACAACCACCAATATTCAGGAAAGGGTTAGGGTGATTTTCCAAACGTTACTGTAGCTTTTGTTGTATTCACAGGCATTTGAAACGTTAAGCCAATTGTCTTCAGTTCTCAGCATGTTGTTTTGGAACAGTTTAAGATTAATAAACACCACCATAAAGTTTCAATTACATGACTGAAGCAATGAATGCAAGTGTATGGCCCCGCCTAGTGGTGAGATGTGATTTCATAAGCTACGTTCAAGTTATAAAGTCCCAACTTATCAAGTTCTTACACTTAGATTTCAGAATGTGAATAACTTAAGAACAAATGTTTGCTTCCATAGTCAAGAGTGGCAGTTTTAACACTAAAAGAGGTTGAAACAAGTTGAAATCTCCATAATTCCAAGGGAATTAAAGGTTGAATACTATGGATTGGAACATATTCCTAGAAGAGACATTTTTTCAATTTTTCAACTTGAAAAACTGGACAAAAAACTAGTTTCTCCACAGTTGAAACTAGTTATGTGTACAGGAGGTTTATAGCACCCTCTTGTGATAGAACCCAGTAAGTAAGTACAAAAACACAAACATAAGCGAGGACACTGTATTTGTCAAATATATAGGTCCAAATATACATATAGTATGCAAGATTGTTTAAAAACAAGCTGTATTCTTTATGTAAACAGAGCAGCACATGTTGACATTGAGCTTTGTGTTAAGTTGACACATTGTTTTCTTTTGGTATAAAACAAGTTTCTGTAGAATAAATAATGGACCGCCCTTCAAACCAAGTCCCAAATAAAAGGAAATTAAATACGAAGTCAATAAGCACAAAAATAAAGTAACTGTCAAAGTAGCACTCAAACGTTTATGTACACTGACCTGTGAATGAGAGAGTCATTTCCATGATTGAGCAGAACTTAAAAACAACAAAGTATGTTTCAAAAATAAAGCTCCCCTTAAAATAAAAATTAAAAACTAAAATAAATGTTACAGAGTGGATCCATTTGTCTAAACCTGAATATGAGTCAAATCTTTTGTCTTTTACTTGAAGACAAGCTGCACTTTGGCTCTCCCGTTGAGAAGGCCCGAATTTCTCTCCACTCTCTCCTCTCCCTCGTTGTTGTTGGACCAGCTGGCTTTCAGCGGAGTGAGCTCTGGGGCGATTATGTCTCCATCCTGCAGCACAAAGTGGTGGAAATGTGCCATTTTTCCTCAAACTTGTGGACATTTCATGAAAACATTCAATTCATTCATTCATTGCTCATCCACACAATGCTCATTAGATCCTCCGGCAGGTGGTGCGTCCACAGGAAGCTGGCTGCAGTAGGAAAACGTGCGAAACCACAGGGAGGCCCATACTAAGCGAGGGATCCACTCCTGGATGGACAAGCTGTGGATCCAGGACTCAGGCCGTATTCAAAATGTATGTGTATGAAAAAATTTATGTGTATACAAAATATATGAAGCTAAAAACAACTCCAGGTCAGTTCGAATGATGGAACAATGTTGCAACTTTCTCTAAACACTCATAAAAAAGGTGATTTTCCTCACTTTGTGTCCTATTTTTCATATTGACATTCATAAATAAATATATGTAAATGAAAAATGACACTGCACCTGGGGTTTAGAGAAGTTTTTGTCCATGCACCATTGAACAAAGTGCTTCTTCGCTGCCGCTAAGCTCCTCTCATCCGTCTTTTTGCAGTAAACTCTGATCAACTGTTCAGCAAAACGCTCTGGAAGGAGTTTTGATACCTGTCAAGAGGAAAACACATTTTTGTTTAGAAAGTGTTTTAAAGACACAAGCATAAATGCATGTCCCACCTGGTTTTTGCGTATTTGGATGGCAGTGGTAAGGTCGTTTTTGCAATAGAATCGGACATTGTTTATTGGATTCTTTTCCTTCATTCCATAATCCATTTGAATAACCTGAAACAAATATTTCACAACTTAATCCTGATGATCTGGTCAAAAACAAGTGTAATTTGACAAAGTAGTTTTTAATTAGAAGATGGTGGCATTCTTACATTTACCACAAAGTCCTCGGGCTGTAGTTCGTCATCCTGGGATCCCTGAGGTACAGACAGAGCCAAGTCTGCTTCCCAACTTCGAACCATTTCCTAAAAAATAAATAAATAAATCAGCACAGTACATTTTTTATGCAGAAATTTTATGATAATTCAATTCTACAATCTTTGTTCTATTGTTTGTTAGGTTGGGTCAGAGCAGGTTAATAACCACACCTTTCTGGATTGTAGGTTAGGGCTAATTTGCATTGTGTGAGCATTTGCATGTGTTTGCACTCATGCAAACACATACAAACTCCACAGAAAGGTGAACCCCAGGTCCTTCTTGCTGTGAAGCACAAGCGCTAACTGCTGTGCCACCGTGCTGCCCCAACATAACCTTGTGTCATACCTGAGTGACCACGACGGGCTTGTCCGGTTGAGTTTGGCCCAGACACTTGTAAAGGCGTCGACAAATAATATTGCGTAGAATCTGTCGCGCATCAGCGAGCTCTTTGGACGAGGAGTTGAGAATTTGTTCGAACACATGATCTAACAAAATACATACAAAAATCATTATACATTGTAAAACACATCACTGCATTTTCTTTCTAACTTTTTATAAACCTCTCACACATAAGGCAAACCTGACAGCTTCTAGTACATTATTGAAAGATTGCAGAATAGGTGCTTTAGCTTTGAACTGCAGGACAAGGACTTAAGCATTATTCACATTGATTCGTAAACATGCCAATAGCCGAGACCTAAAAAGATCCCATTTTAATTGCTTGTTTTTGATCCAAGTTCAAATATATCCAATGACCTGGTTAGTGTTTGTGCCCTGGCATTTTTTGTCAATTTATAGAAGTTTGTGTTTGAAAATTATGTGCAAGTCAAAGTATTGTTGTAAGCCTTTGGAGATCTTTACCATGAATAGCTCAATAAATATCCTCGGAAATGTTTAAACACCACTGGTGTCGAGACTCTGTGCCAACTCATTCAGCAAAAAGAGTTTTTTGCTGAAGAGTTTTTTTAACCTAGAATAACCTAGCCCTTTTTGCTAAGAAGCGAGAGTGCTAACCTCTCAACCACCATGCATCCCTTAAATGATCCTTAGAAAATAATTGACTATATTAAGTGAAGATTTACAGCCATATAATAGTTTGAAGATTAAAACTACATACAGCTGGAAGAAATTTTACCATCTTAAAAAAATACAACTAGATCGTCGCCTTCAAAACATTTTGCTTCTCCTTTTCCATATATTTATTTTTTGGCTTCTGTCACATCTTCAGATAAGCTTTTTCAGATACAAAAGTGAAAAAAAGAGGACCACTGTCAAAGAGCCAATCATCAGTCAACCCAAAGTGTCAAATAGTGACTCACAGGGCTTTTTTTTTTTTCAAAGTAGGCTAACATTAAGATCTAATACAGGTTGTAATTTCATATTTGTTCATATTTAACTTTTACAGTAATATTTCTATTGGTACAAAGACAACGTATTTACGGAAACGATTTTGGCACCCCACATGCCACATTTAATTACCTTTTTTAAACCATTTTTAAAGTTAGTCCATCTGTATCTAATTTGCCGACCTGTCAGTTTGGTGTAAGCCTCCATGTCATCTATGGCTGTGGACAAGGTGAACATCCTTCCCCCTGAGCCTTCTATCTGGATATGTTTGTCTGCTTTTAGAAATGCCTCAGTAATCCTGGTAGAAGAAAATATATACGCATTAGTAATAAGATTTACATAACATAATATAATACTCACATTGTTTCGATGATGTTTCCGACTTTGTGTTGGTAAGCTCGTCTATGGAGGCAATTTCTGGTGTGGAACATGTCGTACAGATTTCCCACTTCCTGTTGGAGTAAAGACGACTCAAGATTAGCCTTTATTAGCAGAAAATGTTGATCAAGGCAAGGCAAGGCAAGTTTATTTATATAGCACAATTCATACACAAGGCAATTCAAAGTGCTGAACAAAACAAGAAAGCATTAAAATCATAAATTATCACAGAACATTAAAAAGAAAGATAGAAATATAAAATCCCTCAGTTGTATGCACAGTTAAACAGAACTGTCTTTAACCTGGTTTTAAACATTGTCAGAGAGGAGGCCTGTCTCACATCTTCAGGAAGACTGTTCCAGATTTTAGCAGCATGAATCTGAAAAGCAGCCTCCCCATGTTTAGTTCTGACTCTGGGCACTAACAGGAGTCCAGTCCCTGTGCTCCTCAGAGTCCGGGCTGGTTCATATGGGACTAACATGTCACTAATATATTTTGGTGCGAGGCTATGGAGAGACTTGTACACAAGCAGAGCTGTTTTAAAGTCTATTCTCTGAGCCACAGGAAGCCATTGCAGAGACCTGAGAACTGGACTAATGTGGTCGTACTTCCTGGTTCTAGTCAGGACTCGAGCTGCTGCATTTTGAATGTACTGCAGCTGTTTTACAGCCTGTTTGGACAGACCTGTGAGCAGGCCATTGCAGTAGTCTAACCTACTGGAGACAAATGCATGGATAAGAATCTCCAGGTCTGCTTTAGACACTATGTTTTTGATCCTGGCAATGTTTTTTAGATGGTAAAAAGCTGCTGATGTTACTGATTTGATGTGGCTATTAAAATTTAAGTCTGAGTCCAGTATTACCCCTAGATTTCTGACCTTGTTTGAAGGTTTTAGGGAGAGAGACTGTAGGTGACAGATGACGCTCTCTCTTTGTTTCTGGGGACCAAAGACAATCATTTCAGTTTTGTCTGCGTTTAGCTGAAGGAAGTTGTTTTGCATCCACTCACTGATCTGTTGGATACAGTGAAGGAGTGAGTCCACTGGTCCATGTTCTCCTGCAGTCAGTGAGACATAGATCTGAGTGTCGTCTGCATAGTTATGATAGGAAACTTCGTTTCTGCGTATTAACTGACCTAACGGCAGCATGTAGAGATTGAACAGAAGAGGTCCCAGGATCGACCCCTGTGGGACTCCACAGGTCAGAGCCATATGATCTGAGACACAGTTTCCAATCTCCACAAAGTACTTCCTGTCTTCAAGGTAAGACCTAAACCAACTTAGGGCGGTGCCAGTGACGCCAACCCAGTCCTCTAGTCTCTGTAAGAGGATCTCATGGTCGACGGTGTCAAAGGCAGCACTTAGATCTAACAGGATTAAGATTGAGACTTTGCCTGCGTCAGTGTTCAGCCGGATATCGTTTGTAACCTTAACGAGAGCAGTCTCAGTGCTGTGGTGGGGTCTAAAGCCGGACTGAAACATATCAAATGAGTTGTTGATCATAAGAAATCTAGTAAGCTGTAGGTAGACAACTAGTAAGCTGTAGGTAGACAACTATGTATGTTGATGTATGAGATTAAACAGTTGCGTCCTTAGGTAATACACTTCAATTCTGGTGTGTGCGTGAATAATTGGAGGTGGTCACAGGGCAGCTGTGGCTACAGTAGTAGTGTATCACCACTGTGTACAGAGATGAATAAAGATCTGGGGCCGTATTCCTAAAGATTCTTACTGCTAAAAGTTGCTCCTAGTGGCCAAATTCTAAGAATTTTCTTAGAATCTTGACCAACTCTTAGAATTTCCCCTAAAAGTGAGGAGTAGCTCCTAGTTAAGATAAAAGCTATTCCTAAAAAATCCTAGCTCTTAAGAGTGCTCCTAAGGGGAGATCCCTTAAGAGTTGAGAGGAGGACTTTTAGCGACTTAAAAGTTCCCTAAGAGCACAAAATGGTGGACGGTGGAGACAGGAGAAAGATTCTATACACTGGATAACAGTGAATCAGTGAAACGCTACAGATTCAAGCAGGAATCATGTTTGTGGTATATTTAAAAGTCAATCATGTGACCAGCTTCTCATTGGCTGGTCAGCAATAACACCTCATCCATTTTACCTTTGTTACACAAAAGTAAGTAGAAATGGTAAAAGTTGAAAGAGAGGAAAAAGTGGTCCTAAATTGTCACACATTCAGTACGAATGAATGAATACTTTATTTTGAGCCATGGCAAACAAGAAAAAAAAGGACAAAACAACAGAATAGAAGTACAAATATACAGTTTTGTTTTATTAACAACAATCCAGCTCAAAAAGGAGTGGGAGAGGATAAGACTTTTAAGCTCCCTTGTACTTGATTTGTACAGTGTATGTATAATATGTTTATATTAATATTGTTTCCTTAATTCCTTATAAGTCTATACATATCACAGCCTTTACTAATCCTAACGTTATCATTATCATCATTTATCCATATAATATTTATAATAATAATTTTCTTTATCATGTATATTATATATAGAGTAATATTTAAATTATATGTGTATATATATATATATATATATAAAATTATAAGTGCTCATGATATATACGTATTATGTGTGATAAATTGGTGCTGAGCAAGCTCTGATGATGGTGTATAAGTCTAACTTTACTATTCACAGTATGTATGTACCATTGATATATCTGACTTTATAGCTTTTGGTTATTATTTACAATAACACAGTGTTCCTAAGATTAGATTCCATGATTGAGTTTGTCCATTTGCCTATTATCATCAAAAATATGTTTGTTCTAACTTTTAGGATCAACCAATCACAGCGTCTGAAATGATGACTCATACCTAGCAACGGGGTCGGCCACGCCTCCTCACTAAGATAAAAGTTGTTGTCAATTCCTTGCTCAGAGTTCTCTAAGAGTGTTCTGGAATAACTTTTAAGCTAAGACTCCTAGCTAGGAGTTTTTAGGTTAAGATAAGAGCTCTCTGAGAGGACTCTCAGAATCTTTAGGAATACGGCCCCTGAAGTGCATTTGAATGTCCAAAAAAACAAACAAAAAATACATTTTCATATAATTTATGAACTAAATTCTGTGCTTATTTAGGGCGCAGCTTCCTTCTTTCCATCCGAACTGTACCTTGTCTCTAGTACAAATGTTCTTTTGTCCATCCACTTCACACACTCGGGCAAACTTAAGGAAGCGGCGATAGTCAAAGTTGTTTTGAATGCCCAAGTGGTAGCAGTCCCTATGCAGACAGTTGTCCAGAGGGTTAAATAAGTTAGCATGGAACAATAAGAATGAGATAAATATGGCATTCATAAAGTGGAGCTCTCACCTGGCAAAGTAGTCCCACTTATCGACATCAATGCCATTCCTCTTGTTGGCCACAATTTCATAGAGGAAAGATTTGTCTTCAGGTCGACCTTTGTATGGCCACTAAAAAAAAGTGACAGCTTTCATGAGAACTGACAAAACATGTTCCTAGTTGTTGTTTAAGCGGTTCCTACAGGTTACGTTTTTCATACATTTTCAGATCATTAAATAAGGAAATGGCAATGGCCTATTACTTGACCACGAGATTTTTTTCCCCAAATTTGAAAATGGATCATCTAAAAGCAACCTTTGGATCACCTTCTAAGACTTTCTAGAACCCTGTAATGACCATACAATCCTTCCCCCAAAAGGGACAATTATCAGCTTTCATTACCATTTAACTGTAACAATATAATTGTGGCCTTAATATTTATGTACTCAAAACATGTCAACGCTGTAACGTTGTCATATACAAGACCATACACGCACAGAACTATTCTCTGCATCTTGTGTGCGTGTCTTTGCGTAACCTGTGCACGCAACAAACACACTGCTGAAGCTGAACTATGGAGGCTCAGGAAGTGTCTCATGAAACGCAACTAAACTCGCTAAATTAAAGCTGGGGTACGTACATTTTCCCTTTCATTAACAGCTCAGGTTGGTTGTGGCCAAAAGTAAAAGGTTGTGAGCAAATCAAACAAATGTAAGTACATTTGGTATGAATGACAATGTGTCATTACATTTGATAATCTCATTTAATTTCAATTGGAGTGGATTTGAAATGGAATGTTAAAAATTGAATTCATTGTGAGTTAACTCACCATTACTATGCGATTTATCAACTAAAAACATGTATTTGTTTGACAGCCCTACTTTTTTTACCTTCACACTTTGAACAGTATCATTTTGCAGTGGTCCGGCGATCTGCTCTTTGATGAAGTCGAGATCCTGCGGAAGAACCAGGCCGTGCTGTTCCATGACTGGCTTCAGTCCATTTTCATCCACCAGATAGTCAAACATGGCGAGGGACGCAGTCTCATGCTGCAAACAAAAAGTGTGGGAGTGTAAATAAAGCAAAAGTGCAATATCTCAAATACAAGGCTGTTTTATTGCTCACGTCTGAAGGACTGTGGCCATAACTTACATAATATAGGAAGCTCGCACATTTTATCAGTAAATGTTATCAGCGTCCAGTCAACTGACACATTAACAATTCACAAGCTACACACACCACACATGTGCACTTGTTGATAGTACCAGGCACATTAGTGAAGTACTCATACATTTTGCAAACAAAAAAGAATACCAACATCATAATCTAAGCACTAGATTTTAATTAGCACCTGAGTCATATTCAGTCAGTATTGTTTTACATCATAGGATAATGATGACTCAGACATTTTATAGTTTTTGTAGATATTTGTTATTAGTTAGTATACAATATACCGAGTAAGAAGTGGTTTGGGGGGATTTATCACTCGTATGTTCAAAATGTTCCTCTAGTTGTTCATATTTGTATAAAGACTGTGGGATAGTCGGGCTGGCGTCACCTAGTTTAATTTAATTTCACTCCTGCTGCAATATCAGGTATTGCAGAAATGCGGGCGGCTCTGAGAACGGGAATCAGTAACAGTTTAGTTCAACAAAGGCAGTAATCAAAGAGGATATGGATGTAGACCACATACATTTGATGTTTGAAAAGATTGGTAAAAATGTCAAATGATCTCGGGAAAAAAAAAGTCTATGAGATTGTCCTCCAGTAACTTCACTTCACCTTAGTCTGGATTAAAAATATCACATCTATTTTATTCACAACTAATTGAATAAATCACAGAAAAAGGCCCATAATCATCGATTATCAAAAGAAATCGTAATGGCAGCCCTCGTTTTGATTCCTAATTGGCTTGAACTTCCTTTGTCTTTCAATGATGAAACGACAACAACACAGTCAAAGAAAATAGCCTCTTACCTTCCATGTCACTTGTGGACGAGCTTTGGGAATAAAAATACCATCAAACATGTGGGAAAACGGCCCATGTCCTGAAAGAAGAGCCCATGTGTTTAAAAGACTGAATAGATTGAGAAAAGAACACTTCTACTATATGTAATTGGTATACGGTACAAGTGAATGCACTACTAAACGTCAACAATACTCACCAAGATCATGACAAAGACCTGCAATCTGGACACACAGAATGTCTCTACACGAAATGAGGAGTTCAGGCTGTCTCTCGTTGAGAGCCTGAACTAGACGACCTGCCAGGTATCCCACCCTACAGTGGTAAATACAACCGAAACATATACACATTAATATTATAGTCAAGTGTGTAACCTGTGTGACAACAATAGCAGAAGAATGACAGTCCCTCCAGGATTTTGCCATGTTGTTTAGTCAAAACAATGTCAGCAAAACATCTATCACACAGCTCGCTACTTGCAGCTACGTTATTCTGGCAAGGCTGGTTTATTTGTATAGCACATTTCATACACATGGCAAGTAATCACATGTACATTTAAAAGAGTAAAGATATACTCCAGTTGTATGCACAGCTTTTTAACCTGGATTTGAACAGTGTCAGAGAAAAAGCCTTTGTCACATTTTCAGGAAGACTGTTCCAGATATAGTTCTGACAATGGGCACCAGTAGGAGGCCAGTCCCTGTACTTGTACACCAACGGAGCTGCATTACAGTCTATTCTCTGAGTCAGAGGAAGCCAGTGCAAAGACCTGAGAACTGGACTGATGTTATGATACTTCCTGGTCCTGGTCTGCAGCGTTTTCAATATACTGCAGTTGTTTTACAATGCTGCAGCCTTTCAGATCCATACTTACTTTGACATTCCTCTTCTCTGGCAATATTCAAATCCAGGTTGAAACCAATTCTGTTAAGCTTAAAGTGATAGTCTGGAACTCTAAATGAATTGCACATTTTAAGAATTGTGTTAAATTGACCTCCTGGTCTTAAATGTTGATATCAAATAAGTCATTTTATGAATTCTAATATTACGGGTAAGTCCCGCCCTCCTTTTTCTTAGTCATAGCAAATCCACGATGCCGTCCACTTTAACCAATCAAGTTATGCCAAGGGCTGTGAATCATTGGCGATCATGCTTGTAGCTCAGTTGTTTGTTTTCACGGAGCCTCAGAATCAAGCTTCCATTAGGCTCTGGAACTACATGAAAACGGAACAAAGAATTCTGAAGATCCACGCCGAGTTACGCATTTATATACTGAACCTATATCCATAATCAATCCTCGGTGTCCTAAAGTGTTCCATTAATGATAATAGCTTACCATGATCGCTTTTTGCGTGCATTAAAACATTATTTTTGTCATGAAAACGTTAATAGATCATTCTGAAAACCTGTGCATGTATTTTAATAATGTATAATGTGTTCTCCGATTAACATTTAAATGTGTTGATTGATTGGGTTTTTTCTTCAAATCATGTACTTCTTTTTTCTGACAAACTCCAGACAAATCACTTTAACCGAAGGATTGTATCTTCACCCTTTTTAATTCAACCATGATCATTTATGATTTTACATTGTGTGATTGTTTTCGATTGTTTTGTTAAGCACCTTGAGTCGCCTTGTGTTTGAACTGTACAATTCAAAGAAGTCTGCTTTCTTTATGGTATTACACAATAATTGAATGACCCAATACGCACCATATATAATTAAAGAGAAGCGAAACAAAAAAAAGAGGCAGATGCAAACAAGCTGACAATACGGATTTTAAGAGGTGGAAACACTTGAAAGCACTGTGTGGTTGAAAAGCAACAATTTTGATGTCGTATTCCTTGATTGTGGTCATGTTTACAAATATACAATACGTATTAAAACTATGTGTGTGTGTGTATATGGGTAATTTATCAGAAAGTTGCTGAAAAGTTGATATACATCTATTAACTTCTCAGCAACTTTCTGATAAATTGGCTGTGATATCCGGCCTTAGTGATGGCTGGCCAAATCCTGGAGCGACTGAATGAAGCAAAGTATACAGACTGGTTGACCCACCCAATGCTGTGCTCGAATCTGTTGTGCGATGCACCAGGAAAAACGTAGTAAGCGCCTCCGAGCTGTTTGATGTTTCGCAATCTCTGAAACTGGGGCGTGTCTATAATTTTGATCAAAAGTGGGTGTAGCTCCACGTGGCCATGAATGGGATCATTGAAAACCTGCAAGAAAACAAAAATGACTGCCTTTATGTATTAGAATAGCCATTGCCAAAGTCTGTAGCTCCTCTTACCGATTAGAAGATATTTGATTCAAAAGGAGACATTATACAAATTACCTTTTCCGATCGTTTAACCACAACATTGCTCCCTCATCAAAGACAGTCCTGGAGTTGTTTTTAAATTCATCCATGCCAATATAAAGAACTTCTGGCTCAAACAAGCAACTATCTAAAAGCTCCTGCATATCTGTTTTAATGGATTTGTATTTTCCCTATGTATAGACACTTTTTTTTTCATTGTATACATAAAAAAAAAAACTTAGATTTTATTTATAAAGCCGGCAGAGTTGTTAAATCCCCCTACTAACTTTGAGTCAAACTATCATCGCGATTAGGTTAGGGCCTAAATGACTTTCGGCTTGATTTTTTTAATTTAGGGTATTTTTTGAAACACTGGTGGGTTGATTTGACACGAGACACAATACAATTAACCCTTGTTTATAGTGTTGTCTTATCGACACCCCACACATGTTCTACATTTTGTATTTTTGTAATTATATATAATTAGCATTTTATGGTTTTTTTTATTATATACACATTATTTTATTACATTTTCTTTATAAATCTGGCAGAGTTGTATGTTTAAATGGGTTACTGTTGTCTTGGTGACACCCCCGCACATGTCCTACAGCACTTCTAAACTTGTTCCTCAACAAAACAAAACAAGTATTTAGCAGAGTTTTCCAATAATTTGCTTTTACTGCAGACCTCACCTTATTTGGCTCTGCTTCCAACTGCCAGAGTTTTCTCAAGCTGTGAAGAATCCTGAGGCGATCTCCATGGCATCTGAAAACACACAAAGCATAAGTTAACTTCAGTACTTTACTATACTACAAGTATTTAAAATAGTATGCATACTTTATTTTATAATTTCCTTTTTTCCTTCCTTCTTTTAAAATACAATTATCTCTACCCTCTACTCATTAAATTTTCACTTTCCAAATGAGCACACTGCATACAGACATCAGAGAACTAAAACATGTGTTCAGTGTCATTGTAAAAGGATATGAGCTAGCCATGCAAAGACATGTTAGTCATATAGGTTTGAAGTAGTTAGCCATGCTTCTAAGTTTAGTGATACAGGTGTGAATTGGTTAGCCATGCATCCAGGCTCAGCAATACAGGTTTGAAGAAGCTACTCATGCCTTTAAGTTCAGTAATACAGGTTTGAATTGGTTAGCCATACAGGTGTGGAATGCTTCCAGTTCAGTACATAACAGCTGCTACATGTTTTATTGCCATATTCAGTGCAAGTGTTAAATACTTGCACACAGCCATCCATCCATTTTCTTCCCCTTAATCCATTTCTGGATGGTAGTCAGAGCTGCACCCAGTACACATAGCACCAGCCCCTCACTGATCCTCCTGCAGGTGGTGAGTCCACAGGAGCCTTGATCTTTCGTGAAGTAGGTCTAGTGGTGGATTCGAACAAACTAAGGTCATTAACAAAATAAGGTCAAACAGACCTTAGATTGTTAATTAGTTAGCATCAGGATTATATCACGTTATAAATCTCCAACGCGCAGTCTGAGATTTCATTCCCTTGAAAAAGTCCGTTAGATGAAGGACGAAACGTCGGGAAAACCTGCTAAGAAGTACAGATGATGGGTGAGAAACCTTTCTTTGCTTTGACTAATCCCTGTACGACTGAGAGCTTACACAAATTTATGACAGTCAGATCAAAACCTTAAAAAAAACAATTGACACACTTTAATACTTACTTCACTCCCATCTTCTCCAAATCATCATCTTTAATGTACCTCAGACCGACGCCAGTAACTTTTTGAGCTGAAGACAGAAAATTGTTTGCTAGGTTAGCAGCCATCTACCACACCTGTTATGATATAGCACCATTCGATCGTCGCAATATTACAAACAAAAATAAAGCACTTACATCTAAAAATATCTTCCCACTCGGCGAGCCCTTCTTTTCTTAGATATTGGCAAGTTTCCTCGACCTCCCAGTGCATGTAGTCCGAGCCGATCAGCTGGACTACTGATAGTTTCTTCTCGGGCGTGTGTAAGCTGTTGTTAGCGGTGATGGCTAGCGGTCTCTTTCGGTTCGCCATAGTCAGCAAACCCCCGCAGTAAACAGGTCACAAAGCGATTCACGTTGCCTGTCTCAGCTGGAAGGGTGACTTCAGTGATCAGGGACACAGGCGCTGAAAAATACCCGGGTTTTGTTTCTGTGCCTGGTATCATGTCCCTACGTCACGCGAACATCCGGATAGGGCTTTCAAAATAAGAGACTCATTCACATCTTGGGCTGACAGAAATACTAAACTCCAAGATAATGAGATTTTTTACTTTGACATTTCATCTTTCAGAATGTGACATGCTGCCTTGAATAGAAAAATAAATAGAACCAACTGCAAATTAATACTTAATTAATATTAACAACCTAATAAGAATAATAATAAGATACTATTGTGAGAATATAATAATCTGAATGTAGGTACTCAGGAATGTACATATCTGTGAATATGTACACAATTACAGTATAAATACTGGATAACAGGATAATACACATCTGTAAATATATACAAAGACAAGGACAAGGACAGTGCTCTTCCTGAAGTCCACAATCATCTCCACTGTCTTCTGGGCATTCAGCTCCAGGTTGTTACCACTGCACCAGGACACCAGCCGGGCCACCTCCCTCCTGTAGGCGGACTCATCGTTGTTGGAGATGAGTCCAATGAGGGTGGTGCCGTCCGCGAACTTGAGCAGCTTCACGGAGTCGTGGCTGGAGGTGCAGTGGTTGGTGTACAGGGAGAAGAGCAGGGGAGAAAGAACACAGCCCTGTGGGGCTCCTGTATTTATAATCCGAGTGTCCGAGACATTCTTCCCCAGACACACTCGCTATACTATAGAGCTATCTCTTTAGAGATTTGGGGTTATTCCATTATAGGAATCAGTACAGTATCCTTTAATATCTCATTAGTAAATAATAATTTAGATTTTGGTTAAGATCTAGAGTCAAACCTCCCTTAGCAGGTTTGAAGAAGTTCATTTCTAGGCAGTAGGAAGTGTGTTAGACTTTATTTTTTATAGGAAACCTCTAGTGTTTATCTAAGCTTGTCATTATTATGACCTAATCTTAATGTGTTTTTTTTGACCAGTCTAGTTCACTCGCTGTGAATTTTTGAAGTCACTCGTTTAAATGAATGGGGCTTGTGCCGGTGTTCTGTCAAGAAGTGCACCCTTGTCGAGATTTGCACCCTTTGTTGAAATGTGCATCCCCACCCGCCGAAAGCAACTTTCCATAGCTTGGTCATTATGAATGTTTACTTAATAAACATGTCAACATATTTATGATTTATTAGATTTAATAAAAGGTAGCATATTAGTTTAATGTACTGAATACATGGCGTGCACTCCTTGTCGAAATTTGCCTCCCCACCCGCCGAAAGAGAACAGGTTATCACCACTTTATGAGCCAGTGTTTTGATCTTTTAAAAAGGAAAAGCGAGTAGCTTAGAATGTGTTATTATATATACGTGCATACTACATTTTTATTATCTGCACAATTGCGCAATGGTTGCTAATGCAGAAGTCCAGACGCCAACTTAAGACGTATATTTACGTTATTGTCCACATCTTCACGTGAATTTTAACTTGTACTACATCACTGTAATGTCTAGTGCAATAGTGTTCAGCTAACATAACAAAAGACATGAGTGTAATCTTGTTTATTGTAAATAAAACTACTCACGTGAAGCTGGAGATGCAAAATCTGATGGCTCGGTAAACCTACTTCGACGCATGCGCAGATGCACTAGATAATATGTTTTGACGGGGGAGGCCGTCTCGACAGAACACCGGCTGACGCATGCGCAGATGCGTTGTTTCACATTTTTCAGCCCCCGCGGCCATTTTGAATCACTCCAAGAGAGCCCAATATTTAGCCCATTAGTTAGAACGGCGGAGATAGGCGTGGCTACAGTCTATGGTTATTATTACTTTTCCATGCGGCGTTTTCGGGTGCTTCCCAATTCACAGAGCACTATCAGCCCCTCACTGTAAGTAAGTAAGTAAGTAATCTTTATTTATATACCGCCTTTCACAGACCAGAGTCACAAAGCGGTTTACAATTGTTATTATTTTTGGGCATTGGTCCACTCACTCCACACAGAGATGGGAGCGGGGTCGCCAGTACAGGAGGCGCATGCCAGACCTATTGTGCATGTTTTTAGTGGTAGGGGAAACCGGAGTACCCGGAGGAAACCTACGCAGACACGGGGAGAACATGCAAACTCCACTCAGAAAGGCCCTGGTCCGGCCGGGATTCGAACCCTGGAACTGATCCAGGTGGTGAGTCCACAGGAGGACGGGTGCTCTGTCGTTGAGAGTACAGCCTTGATCTTGCAATGGGGGCTTCAGGTAAAGTGGGGTTAAGTGTCCTTGTGCCCAAGGAGACAAGGACAGCAGACATCAGGGGGAGCTGACATCAGACATTTGTATATGTAACCATAAAAAATGCTAGTTATAAGACAATTTCCCAATTCGTAATAAAAATTATAACAGTCCCCCATAATGAAAAACGCATACAAAATATAATGATGGAATTTGAACTTTGTATTGTTCAATACTCTCGATTGTATGCTTTTCAAAAAAATGTGAAAGAAAATGAAATGACGTAATGTAATTTAATCCATATTATTTATCATATTTTCCACAAACTCTAACATTTTCAGTTCCAAAGTTTTAAACATTTGAAATTTAGAGAAAAAATAGGTGATTTTCTACAAACAAACAAAAAAACAGTGCCAATGTTTAAGCCTGCAGTAAATAATTGTTTAATTGAATGGTGATTGATCACGATTCAATGAGGGAATAAACAAGTGAACTAGAAACTACATAGTGTTGAAAAAGGAGTGTTGCAAGGGTACGAATGTGTTGAAGAGTAATGTTCTTACACTCCAGTTACACTCTTATACACCCACAGGGCTCCCATATAACACCCCTATTACCCTATTACACTCCTATCACTCCCCTAAAACAACCGTATACACCCATAGTACACAACTATCACACCCTATTAAACTCTTCTACACTTGTTGTACTCTCATATTACATCCCATAACACTACTACGACACTAACGTTAAACTATTACCCTTATGCACTCTTTATTACACTATTATGCCCCATTAAACAAATAAAAGATCACTAATAAACCCATATACTCTCATAACACACTCCTATTACACCCTTATGCAGTCTTACACCTCTATTGCACAACTATCGCACTAATACACCCATACCACACCCTATTACACTCCTACAACACACCCGTGTACACTCATAGTACACTTCTGACTAGTACAAAAGTTCCTTACGTTGAAAGGGTACTCGTGTGTAGAATGTGTTGATACTAAGCTGTGGATAGGTGAACATGTGTGTGTCCCAATGCTCGTCAAAAAAGTGGAAAAAGTATAAAAGGTGCAATGTCAAGTCGCCCCAACAGACAGGGAAGTCGGAAGAAAAAAGGTATAGGTTGGTGAATGACTAAAATTGGCAGAAGAATTTCCTCTACAAGAACATATAGCTTAAGTTTGTAATTGATTCAGTCACATACAATGACCCAAAAAGCTTCCCCTCTCATAGTGCAACCAAAAAGTGTTCTTTAAATTTTTGGAAAAGTATACTATATACTAAAGACCACCTATCTCTTTTCACAAGCACAAACATGAGCAGGTCTGTATTTAAAAAGAAATACATTTAATAATTCAAGTTTTGATTAGTGCAAAACTCCCACCCTTTTCGCTGGTTCATACCACCTCCAATAAAATTAGATTAATATAATATAAAGTTTGTTCTATTCTGTTTCTTTGATTATGGCCTAAATATAAAAACACGGGAAATAAGTTAAATAAATTACTACCACCTTCAAAGATAAATCACTATTTCAAACCATTAGTACATTTTGTTGGTCTGGTGATGTACATTCTTGGCATTTCTTGTGAGTTTTCTCCACAACCTATTCAAGAAGATAGAAATGAAATTTAAAACTGTGAAGCACAGTTACCTAACAAACCAAAGTTCTATGAATAAGTGTGTTTAATCCTCTACAAGCTACACTTAAGGCTAACAGCACGTGAGATCAAACAATGCACTGCTCCAGTCATGGATGGTTCTGCAATGACCTTTTCCAGCTCTTCTTTTCATTGAGCGCTTGATCTTCAAGATTCCAGTGCAGCAAACTTCACACAGAAAGGCCTTGTATGGAGGTGGAAACGAACCAAAGAGCCAAACATCAACACCCTTCCCTCACTCATGACTCAGAGATAATTGACCCACAGAAAACTCCTCCACTTGAGGAAGGACCTCTGCACCTGGTGAGGGCAAAGCACCTTTTTCCTGTGGAGCACCACGGCCTCAGTTCTGGAGGCGCTCATGCTCATCCCAAAAGCTTTACACTCGGCTGCTAACCGTCCCAGTGCATGTTGGAGGTCCTGGGTTGTTAACGTTTTCTTGCCCTTTCTTGACCCTCCCCAAAAGACAATGTTCTTTTCCCGTTATTGATTTTCAATCAAGTCAGATGAGATCAAAGAAAAGAAACAAGAATGTGCTGAAATTCTAGATCTCCAGCACTGAGTCAATAGAAGGGAGAGCAATAGACATTGTGGCTTATAGAGCAGTAGATCTCAGGACACGTTCATGATTGGAGTGGTGGATTGTTTGAACTCACTTTGTGGACATTAGTGTTTTACAATTGTGAAGCACATATGACATAGTTACAATAGTTGTAGAAGTTAGTTGAGATTATTACCTTCTCATCGTCAGGGCAAGTTTTCCAGAAGACAAGTATCATGGCATGATGTAAATCTCTTTTAGATTTTTAATCTAGAAGAAAATATTTTTAGTAGAAAAAACATCATCAAATAACATTTCAGTGGTATGTACCTTTTCATCAACTTGCTCCTGGGACACAATGGCTCCCAACCTATCATAGAAATGCATGACTTTGATGGGGTTGGTGTCATCTTGGGTTGAAAAGTTTGGGGGTCTTGCCTTATCAGAGACAAAAACATGTTTAGAAATACAGTAAAGTGAAGGCGTATTCTGCTCAGTCACTAATGCTTTCAATGTGGAGCATGTTGAAGACTATAATTCCCACTGGTCATATTAATAATAATGCATCTCAGGCTGCAGGTATCAATTATTTTAGTATTTGCATAATTTATAAATACCTTTGATTAATTGAGTGATGCTTATTCTTTTGAATTTTCCACAAACCACCTTTCAATGTATATCAAATATATGCCTCAGTAGATCGGTTCTGCAGACAGTAGTTAACCTTAATTGTAAAATCTGGATGTTGGCTTCAGTGCAGCGCAGAAACAGCTCCATGTGAAACAAGTGCTGAAATTGGCGTTCTCTCTGTGCCACAGTGGTCAACGAAACTGTAACTGAACAATTCACTTTTCATTTTTATTCACTTTATAATAAGATATTCCTTTCTTTGTCCCACAGTGGGGACATTTTCACATACATTTTGGAGAAGTTTAAGATTCTACTTTTAATCAACAGAAAAACAAGAGATATCAAATCTCAGAGAGTTGGCCAGTTGGATCACCCATAAATAGTTAACTACTGACTTTTGGTGAAGTGTGGCTTTCCATGTCAGGAGCGTTCCGCTCATAGACTGTAATCAACAATGCGTTGTTCTTGTGTACCTTGGTTTCACAAGAACAACGCATTGTTGTTCTTGTTTGGTTTGTTTGGTTGCTTTGCTCTAGTGATAGTACCATAGACATGCTCAAACCTGTCGGTGCGCACACACACACACACCAGGTGCCTTGATTCTCAAATGAATAACCACTCAGGATGTTATTGAGCGTTAACATTGCTGGACTCTACTTTATAGTTTGGTCATCTAGTTTGGACCTAGATATCTGTGTTCATAACGTGACTAAATGAGAAGAATTAGAAAAGAAAAGGTCAATGAGTACCATTGGCTCATGTTTGAAATAGTCGAGGTCCCTTGAGTGGATTCTCTCCATTATGTCTTCATGTCTCTCAAACAGCAGGTTGTCTGCAATGTAACAGAAGAGTGAGGCAACAACAAAAATATTAAAATATTGATATCAGTGTTAAAGTCTGTGTCAAACCTGTCTCAACTTCATTTTCCACTGGGATCCTGGAGGGACAAAATTAGACAGCATAGACTTATTCTTATTGCAAGTGAAGTGAAATTAAGACTTGCAAAATCATAAAGCATTTTTTCCTTCAGAATAGAATATATTAAAAGTATATGTTAGAAACACACTATAGCACGAGTAGAAGAGCTGATATCGGAATAAAACATGTTAATAAATAAGCGTGAACCCAAACACCTTGCTAGTAAAATACTTGCATGTTTTGGATCGTCATGGTCACTCTGTGCTGGTAGGCTTTGCTATGAAGAGCCACAACGGTGTGCCACAAGTCAAACAGATTGCCTATCACCTGTTTAACAAAGATTGAACAAAGTCCTTGTTACAACAGACATCAGAGATGCAGACAAGTCTCTGACCCGCAAGTCCAGGTCAAGTCCCTAGCCCAGGAACCCAAGTGAAGTCCAAGTCAAGTCCAAGTCTCATTTTCTATGCATTAAGATATTGGCCTGTACATTTTAAAAAGATTATGCAAGATAGTGCTGTTTATTTAATTGTTTAAATAATCAAATGTGATGTCATGTGAACACATAACCTATTAACCAAAAATATTAATAAATAATAAAATTACATTGTCTGTCAGGCACTCTCTGACCCCGCATGGATAATCCGCTGTGTACGGAGGTACTGAGGGCACCGCGATTCGGTTTAATTGACAAGCCTATGTAACCCAGGTCTCTTCCTCTGATCCTCATTGATCCCAGACGGTTCATTGTCTCCGCCACTGATGGCGCTGTAGTTAAAATATGGCCGCCAGGCTCATGCACTGTCTGGCTTCTTCCTATTAGCCCTTCCCTGTGTGGCACATGGATCTATTATAATAACTGGATAGGGTATTACTAGCTTGTAGCTGAATAACTCATGTGCTCGGGGGATTCTCGCGGTACTGCAGACTGAACCAGACTAAATTCACGTGGGCTACCCAGAAATTTTCCCCATAGGACTCAATGCATATTAACACAGCTCGACCTCAGCTGACTGAGAACCTTCAGCTTTCATAAAGGTTGCATTTTGTGGGGATTTTAGTGTCCCTTGTCATCCTGAACTTTTTTTCTTCTTAAATCCTTCGGTTTTGTTTAAATCCACACTTTAGTGCCACAAACTCTGCTCGTTTGTGGCACTAAAGTTACCACAGGGATAACTGGCTTGTGGCGGCCAAGCGTTCATAGCGACATCGCTTTTTGATCCTTCGATGTCGGCTCTTCCTATCATTGTGAAGCAGAATTCACCAAGCGTTGGATTGTTCACCCATTAATAGGGAACGTGAGCTGGGTTTAGACCGTCGTGATGATGTCTTGTTGCAATAGTAAATATTGTATTTATATTGTAATATAAATACAATGTTTTTTATTCCGTTACTCAGTCTCCCTGGTCCTCATTCACACAAGCTCCTCTCACGTATTTAGTTTCTTTCTGTCAGTCAGTCTTACAGTTTTCCTTGCATTCCTTAGCCCTAACTTAATTGTTTGTTATTTATTTACTTTAAATTAGTGTTACACCTCTCACTTTTACAGCTGTACCCAGCTTTGGACTGCCCCTCCCGCTCCTCTCCCCCTCCCTACTCCCTTCTCCCTCCCTCCTCACCCCATCTAAGTCTTTCCTGCTCATCCCCCTCCTCACCTAACCCCCTCTGACGGCCCACATTGGCGAAGGGTGGTCGGAGTTTATTTCCATAATAAAAACGTCCGTGTTTTATCCAAAACATACTGTGTCTTATCCAAAGTGTCTTGTGATATGTACTGTATGTTACTGCTCTCTGCTGTTTATTCTACTGTTTGTCGCATGGCGCCGTGGGAAGAGCTCTGGTGTGTGCCGTCTTCTCTGTCTGGTGCAGACTGGGGTAGTCTTGCACAGTTTTTCCAATGTGGTTTTACTGCAAATGGCAAATAAATGAATCTGAATCTGATATAATATAACGTGGTTACCAACCAAATTTCACTCACTTGAATATGTACTAACTGAGAACAGTTAAATACAATGAAATGCAAAAGTGTTTAAAATGTTTTTAGACAACTTACTTGTCTGTATGTTACTGCCATTAAGCCTGTAAGCCATACCCATAGCCACAGTTTTATCATGTTTGGCTTTGGCACTATCATACAAAGAAGCAATTAAAACTGTCAATTAAACAACATCACCTTCACATTTAAAATTCATTGAGTTTTTAAAGTGATCACCAGTGCATTAATAACCTTAAAGGTTCACTGTGTAGTTTTTACTCCCGTCTTGCATTGAGATCATATTTGGCAGTCCAGGCTACTATGGAAGCCTTTGATGGACAATTTGTTGTATTTGACAGTTGTCCCTAACTCTCTGTCATTCACCAGACTGCCAAGGAAAGAATCCTTTAGTTTGATAAATGACCAGATCTCTCCAAACGTCTTAGTCACTTGAGTAGATTGAGGCTGACATGTAAACAAGACCACGTTCTGAAGCAGCACTCGCTGCACAGAGGCTCTAAAGACTTTTACCATGGATCTATTATAATGTATAGTTTGCTAAACAGCATCTACCAACTGAAGTGAACCAGATTATCAATGTGATTATTTTAACTGTTAGGTATCAAAGGGGGTTTCCTCACCTTGTCTCTGATGCAGATCTGATTTTCGCCATTGACCTCGAGAACTTTGGTAAATTTGATAAATCGGTGATGGTTAAAATTAGTCTTGAGGCCCATATTATAGCAGTCTCTAAAGGCATTGAATCAAAAGTTAAACGTAAAAACAAAAACACATTTTGTATCAATGGAAAAACAGCTAGAAACGTATAAGATGAAAAGTCTCACCTGGCCACAGAGTCAAAGAGCTTCACACCGACTCCATTTTTTCGGTTGGTCAGGATATCATAGAGGAAGCGTTTCCCCGGGCGACTGTTCTGTGGCCCCTGGAGATAACACCCCATCAGCATGTGGTGCAGCATGACTGAACCTGTGAAGCTTCATTTACCTCTCCAATTATCATCTCTTCAATGAATGTCTTGTCCATCTCATCCATATTCAGGTCCAGGTTCTTCTCAAGTGTTCGAAAAAGGACAACAGACTGGTTTCTATTCTGCAGAAAAAAACATTATTTTCGGTGTCATTTTTATAAACCCAATACAAGTGCTCCATTCAGTTTTACAAGGTGGCCATGTTTAATGTTATTGACACAATTGTAAATATCTCTAATGTGAGATCAATAAAGTCTTATCTCACAGATGTAACATTTTACATTAAAATATCCCATATTAACCTATATTACATTATTATATATTATATTATATATCCACAACAGACTGTTAAGTGACTGATAATTTGTCACCGATGGTGTATATCTGATGCCTGTAATTTGCATGTTTTTACAACTTTATTATGGTAATAGAATCAAAACTATGGTGAGACAAATATTTTAATTAATAAAATACGGGCGGCAGTAGCTCAGTTGGTAGAGCGTTGGCCTTTGAGCCAGAAGGTCGTGGGTTCAAGCCCCGCTCAAGACTTTCACCATCGACTCCCACTGACTACTGTCGTTGTGTCCTTGGCAAGACACTTAACCTCTGGGAACACCAGCCACAGTGGGGCGGCTGCGGCTGTAAAGTGCCAAACTGCCGTTGTGTCCTTAGGCAAGACACTTCACCCCCATTGCCTAGAATGAGTCTGGTGTGTGTGTGAATGGTTGGTGGTGGTCAGAGGGGCCGATGGCGCATACTGGTTGCCTCGCTTCTGTCAGTGTGCCCCAGGGCAGCTGTGGCTACAGTAGTAGTTTATCACCACCGTGTATGGAGTGAATGAATAATGACACATGTGAAGCGTCTTTGAGTGTCCAAAAAAGCGCTATATAAAACCGATGCATTATTATTATTATTATTATTAATAAAGTCATCACATACATTTAATAAAAGCGGCATTTCTCACAAGGTGGTGCTGTGTTTTAACACACTGGTGGGTCATGTGCCTATATCCAATGAGTCTCAAAAGAGCTTTAAAAATATCTGAGGAAAACTTCTCCACCCTGACAGCTTTCTGGACCACAGTCATGCCTCCCATGTTTGTTACAAAACACTAAATCCGTCCTCTGACCAAAGCTGATGACATTGTGCAGATGATCAATCACAGCAGTTTAGCTGTTGTGTTATCTGGGAACGTTTTGAAACACATTCACTTAAAATTTAAGAAATACCTTTGGGTCCAACCTTACATCAGCAGAAAAAGGTGCCCGTCCTAAAAGTAATTAAATAAAAAAAAAAGATAAATGTGAGGTGATCCATTGTCACTGGCAATGTGGGTTTACTCCTCACCAATATCTAGGCAAAGACCTGCAATTTCCACACAAAGTATGTCTTTGTCACTAATAGACAGGTGTTCCTTTTGTAGTCTTTTCAAGAACTGTCCGGCTAAGTAGGCCACACTGAGAAATACAAACAAATAATTCAACAAATTCTCTCAGGACCAGATTTATGGTACAGCATACCCAAGAGAGTGTTCAAATCTGTTGTGAGATGCTCCGGGGTAAACAAAATAAGCTGCTCCCAGCTGTTTGATGAATCGAAGTCTTTGGAACTCTGGAGTGTCTATGATCTTGACCAGAGTAGGATGGAACTCCATGTGACCATGGATAGGGTCATTGAACACCTGATGAAGAACAATACAATAAACTAGACTCATGCACAATTATGGCTCTAAATACTTTAAATACCTTTGGTTGTGGAACGCCTGCCAGTCGCGCGGATCTCCGACATATCTTTATTATGTATCAAAAAGATGTATGAATATTTTAATTTTCATCTATTTTGTGTTAAATAGATGAAACACAAATAAATGAAATACATTATGAACATACATTTTCTACATAAAGTGTAGTCCACTGATGTCAACTAGTGAGTGGCTTTTCCTGAGAATGTTATTGAAAGTTTGAACAAGCTCCATAAGTGTCTGTCCCTCAAGAACCGCAATATTTTTTGGCATGTTGTGCGTCATATCCAGTGCTTTTGTTCCATGATTTGTTTTGTCCCAAAGCCAACAAGCAAAACTGTCGTCAAATTTGTATCAATTCAATATCAAGCTTTTACATACACTGCATTCAAAATGCACTTTAAAATAGAATACTTGATTTTTTTGCTCTTTATGTCTTCAAAAAAATAAATTCTGCTCCTCTCTTGCCACCTTAGGTGGATTATGGCAAATTGTGTGAGATTATTATTTTTCAGTTAGATCTTTTGAATGAACTGGCCGTCAAAACAGAGAACAGACTTGGGGAAATATTTACACCATCAAAAGGTAAAGGAGGGCCCTCCACGGGTAAGTTATGAACTAATCCACCAACATTTTATACAAATACAGCACATATAATAAGCAGCAAGATCAGCTGATGGATGGGAAATATGTTTCAACATGTCTTCGTCAATATCTGTGTCTAAGAACAATTTGTTCAGGTCAAAGCAGATTGTTACATGTATCAGAGATGAATCAGATTTGACTCAGCGTAAGGAAGCGTGAAGAGAAGCTTTGAACTACACGTATCAATTGTTGTCGTCTCTGGTCTATTTAATGGCCAGTAATTTCCTCATTTGGGGCAGACGGTCTCAGGCTGCTGCCAGGTGGTATTGATGACGTGGTTCCTTTTATCATTGTATACAGTATGTTTACATTTACTAATAAATAAATTCACACTTTGATTGTATTACAGCTCTCCACAAAAGTCCATTCGCTCTAGGACTATTCTCAAGCCAAAGCAGAATTTGGGCCAGTTTTTAATGGACATTTTTGGATTACAAAATACGATATAAACTAAAATGACTTGGTACATGTAGAAGCACACAATGGTGACAGAGTGGGATGAGTTTTTTTGAAAGAGAAGGCAGCCAAAGCCAGTCGCAGCAAAAACTTGTCCATGAGCCCTTCCCTATTAGGCTTCACAGAGTGAGCGGGTTACTCTGTCCATCCCCTCCTACAGCTGAGCAGTGGAAGAGAAATGAAATGACTTACCTGAGGAAGATATAGGTTCTTCCTGCGGCACCATTCATGGAAATTTCTTTGAGCGACATTGACATTGTTCATGTTTTTGTAGTAGACATTGATCCATTTCTCTGAAAACTTATTTGGCAGGAGAAACTGAGATACCTGAAAAAGAGAATTCTATTTCAATGTTGCATAAAAAATGTAATGTAATAATAGTGTAATTGTCTATGTGCTGACCTGCTCACTGGGAATCTTGAATACATTGTTGAACTTATCATAGACATACAGGCTTTCCATTGGGTTTTGTCCTTTCTTACCAAAGTCAAAACAGCTGATCTGTTAAACATAATTACATTTTCATCATAAGGGAGATTGTGTATTTCTATTATTATACATAATGAAACATTATTTGGGAAGAAAAATCCTTCCTCAAGGGAAGGATGGAGTGTAAGATTGACAGATGTATCGGTGCAGCGTGTGCAGAAATGCGGTCGCTGTATCCTCTTGTGAACAGGGAACAGTGCAGCCAAAGCTCTTGATGATCTCATGAGCTTTTGGTAATGACCGACAAGATCTTAGATGCAAGCGCTTAAAATGAGTTTCCCCCTCAGAGAAGCTGTGAGCTTAATGTTTCAGGGAGCGTCTGTTTCAGATGGTGGCTGAGTGGATAGCACTCTCACTTTTCAGCAAGAAGGTTCTGGGTTCGAATCCTGGTCGGAACAGGGCCTTTCTGAGTGGAGTTTGCATGTTCTCCCAGTGTCTGCGTTGGTTTCCTCCGGATACTCCGGTTTCCCCTACCACTAAAAACATGTGCAATAGTTCAGGGTGAATGTGTGAGAGCGTTTGTCAATGCAAATGTGGGACAACGGATACAAATGAGCTGCAATAGCTACAATCCGGGGTGATGTGTTCATTAACATCCCAACCAAATAAACAATAAATAAATCCTTGGAAAGACCCAGGACATGCTGGAAGGACTATGTCTCTCAGCTGGCCTGGGAACGCCTGAGGATTCCCCGGGATGAGCTGGAGGAATTGTTCATGGATAGGGAAGTCTGCTTAGACAGCTGCCCTCCCGGCTAGGCAACGGATACAGTGGAAGCAAATGGATAGATGGACATTTACAAGTATGTTTTTTACTTACAATAATTTCAAAATCATCTTCAGTCAGTGGGGTCTCCCCTCGATATGTGGACCGTTGTGCCAGTTCAGTTTTCCATTGTTCTTCTGTCTTTTAAATTAACACAAACTCGGATTATAAATGTTGATGTAGTTGAGCGCAGTGATTCTGAAATAAATATACATTGGAAAAATACTAGATACCTCTGCAAAAAGCTCATCTGTAATTTTAACCTTTCCTAGATATTTGTACAGTTTTCGAGATAGAATGTTCTGTAGAATTTCTCGAGCATCCTTCAGTTCAGGGTCAGTGGAATAACATATCTTTTCAAAGATATCGTCTTAAACAGAGATAATATATTCCTGTTACATATGTGAAAAGGCAAAAGCAGAGATATATCTCACTGACCTGTGAGCTTGAGGTAATCATCCATCTTGTCAATAGCTCTGGAAATCAGGCATTTATGTTCTGGATTTTCACCCTCTGGGGTAAGGTCTCTATCTGCTTTGAGTAAGGCGTCAGTAATCCTGCATTTCATAATTCATGTTAATTACTTTCTAAATTATGGAGAAACACAAAAAGCATATACATACACACAGTCAACATGTACTTACATCACCTCAATGATCTTGTTGGTTTTGTGCTGGTAGGCCTTTCTGTGGAGAGAACTCCTTGTATGGAACATTTCATAAACATTGGACATTTCCTGTAGACAATGAAACCACTTAAATAAAATCCCATCTCTGGATGGAGCGTGAGATTAACAAAGTTTTAGGAAAGGGAGCTGAGCCAAAAGAGGGCAAGAAGCCAGGTGAGGTGGCTCGGGCATCCTTATTTGGATGCCTCCCTGGGGAGGTGTTCCGGGCATGGGAGGCGACCCCGGGGACGACCCAGGACATGTTGGAGGGGCCGTCTCATAGCTGACCTGGGAATGTCTCAGGTGAGCTAGAGGAGGTGTGTGTGTATAGGGAAGTCTGGGTGTCTTGGCTTATACTGTTGCCCCTGAGACCCAATAAGACAAAGCGAAAGAAAATGGCTGGATAGATGAAATCCAGAGTATAAATAATATTAAACACCTCAAACCTTGTCTCTCGTGCAGATCTGCTGTTGACCGTCCACCTCAAAAACTTTAGCAAACTTGATGTAGCGTGTGTAGTCAAAGCAATTTTTTAGTCCAAGATGATGACAATCTCTGTTCAAATGGAATCAATTTTATGTTGTTATGAAGTGTAATGAATAAAGCTTAATTTATCTTTTCTAAATCAGGCCAAACCTGGCAAAGTAGTCAAACTTGTCCACATCAATGCTGTTTCTTTTATTCGAGATTATCTCATAGAGGAAATACTTGTTTGGTGGGCGGCCCTCGAAATGTTCCTAAGTAAAACATTTGGTAAATTTAGTAGAATGTAATTTGATACTATTACTACTAATAAAAAGTTGAAGCTGAATTGAATCTGCGTCCTTGTGTTCATTGGTTTTTCAAGGTGAATTCAAACAACAAACGTTTACCTGTTTATTTGGTCCATCAATCATCTCCTTAATAAACATGATGTCATCATTCTCATTGCTCTCACACAGTTTCGACAACTCTAACTTCAGGTCATAATTGTTTTTTTCTAAGTACTTAACAATATCATCAAACATCTCAATCGAGGCCGTCTCATGCTGCAGTGGAAATGTTACAGATTGTTAAACCAAACTTTATACCAGACCTACTTTTGGTTGATTTAAAATGTGACTCTCACTTTCCAGCCAGGTCTATGTTTAGATTTAGGAATGAACATTCCATCAAACATGTGAGAAAAAGGCCCATGTCCTTCAGGAAAAATAACAAGCAATTACAGATTTAAGTAGCATTTGGTCATGTTCAAAAGTGATTTAAATTTAATCTTCAACTGCATTTCTTTTGGAGATCATTTAGTTCTTGTTGCTTTATGTTCCATGTGTCAAACCGTTTGTATCAATATCTACTCACCCAGATCATGGCAGAGGCCGGCAATTTCAACACAAAGAATGTCTCTGTCATCAATATCAAGTTCTGGTTGATTCCTTTTTAAACTTTGCACGAGCTGCCCAGCTAAGTGGGCTGTTCTGTAAAATTAAATATTTAAAATATTCACTTAGTTCTGTATTTTGTTTTCTCACCTGTACGTACCCAAGTGAGTGTTCAAATCGGTTGTGGGATGCTCCAGGGTAAACAAAATATGCTCCTCCCAGCTGTTTGATGTATCGAAGTCTTTGAAAGTGAGGCGTGTCTATGATTTTGACCAGAATAGGATGGAACTCCATGTGACCATGGACAGGGTCATTGAACACCTGATGAAGCACAATGCTGAAATGAACATACTCTCTCCATATGTGTGTACGTGTATGTGTGTGATGGAGGGCCCCTACACGACACGTACCACCGAAACAAAGCAGAAGTGGCTGACCTCAAGAAGTCCTATCAATGGCTAGAAAGGGCTGGCCTACATGACAGCACAGAGGCACTCATCATGGCTGCACAGGAACAGGCACTGAGCACCAGAGCGATAGAGGCCCAGATATACCACACCAGACAAGACCCAAGGTGTCGGGTGTGCAAAGAGGCACCTGAGATGATCCAAAACATAACTGCAGGGTGCAACACCTCCATCATGGACAACACCTCCCACCCACGGCACAGAGCTGTAGAAGAGCTGAGGAGCTCCTTCAGTGGAAGACTGAGGTACCCACTGTGCAAGAAGGAGTGCTACCGCAGGGCCTGTATCTCCACCGCTGTCAGACTGTACAATAAAGTCACAAATGCACTAGGACTGACAAAACCTGCACTGCTATTGCCACTCTTTCATTTATTGCCACTTTTTTATTGTACATAATTATATCCTGCACAGACAATATTTTTAACCTTTAAAATGTTTGCTCTCTTTTGCACAATCTGGGTGATTCTATCTGTGCCAAACGTGACATGTAAATTTCTATAGTGTGAGATCAATAAAGTCTATCTTATCTTATTTATATCATGGCCAAAGTGTTGCATGTTGTGCCCTAAACAGGTAAAGAGCGCAGTAGCATTCTCCAAAGATTCGAATGTAAGTTAAGAATAAAAGAAAACTCATATTTTATATAGTCCCATTCCACCTAGGGAGAAATATTTAACAACCTTATTTGAATAACGCACCTTTGGTTCCATTGTTGATAATTCAGCTTGAGATTGTCCTGAATGTACTCCAGCAGACTGAAAATAAATGTGTTACATTTAAAAACATACATTTTATTCATTAATATAATGAATAATACAAATAGTTCCTATTACTCATAAAATAATTAGTATAACTGGAAATATTGTCCAAGTCCTCACACTACGTTTACCTGGTTTTGGATTGGTTCCTGAGGTAATGCCGGCTCAACAGGAAATCAGCTGAGTTTTAATGCAAAGTCTTGCCACGCCTGTTCTATTCATCATGCACGTCATTGAGTGACTGCACATGGGTGGTTCTTAAACTTTTTAATAATAATGAAAATAATTGTTATATAAATCTTATAGTAAGGCATAGTGAATTTACATCAAATAGTTATAAGAGAAAGTTATTAACTAATTATTCTCAACTCTGTATTCCAATACAGCATATAGCTCTCTGTTGGCAGCTAGGTAAGCTTCATATCCAGATATGTCTTTGTTTACTCTGGTTTGTTTAATGCCCAGTCATTTCCTCATTCAGGGCAGATGGCTTCAGGCAGCTGCCAGGTGGTATGGGTGAATTGGTTCTATTATTTATTGTATACATTGGAGACAGTGAGGACAGAGAGGACAGAGGAGACAGTGAGGACAGTGAGGACAGAGGAGACAGTGAGGACAGAGAGGACAGAGGAGACAGAGAGGACAGAGGAGACAGAGAGGACAGAGGAGACAGTGAGGACAGAGGGGACAGTGAGGACTGAGGGGACAGTGAGGACAGAGGAGACAGTGAGGACAGAGGAGACAGTGAGGACAGAGGAGACAGTGAGGACAGAGGGGGCAGAGGGGACAGTGAGGACAGAGGGGACAGTGAGGACAGAGGAGACAGTGAGGACAGAGGGGACAGTGAGGACAGAGGAGACAGTGAGGACTGAGGGGACAGTGAGGACAGAGGAGACAGTGAGGACAGAGGAGACAGTGAGGACAGAGGGGACAGTGAGGACAGAGGAGACAGTGAGGACAGAGGAAACAGGAGGACAGTGAGGACAGAGGAGACAGTGAGGACAGAGGGGACAGCGAGGACAGAGGAGACAGTGAGGACAGCGGGGACAGTGAGGACAGAGGAGACAGTGAGGACAGTGAGGACAGAGGAGACAGTGAGGACAGAGGAGACAGTGAGGACAGAGCAGGTCATTCAAAGGGGCAGGTTAAGGAGGAGTTTAAACTAGATTCTGTGGTTTATGGGGAGGGCCGGAGCGATGTGATGTGTTGATTTAGTACGGGTTTGTATCCTAGTAGCAGAGTTGTAAACATGTTGGAGACGTTTTTTTTTTTTTTCAACAATAAAAGTTTTCATGTTCAACCGTTCTCACACTTTCAGGCCCATATAATGGTGAGGCTCTTCACAAGACAGAGTATTTGTAATATTTCTAGTTTTAGTTGTATCTGATTTGTTCATTTTAATGTGTTTCTTTGTGTCTAAAGTTGACAATGATACAAGAATACAATTCTAAAAAAGAAGAAATACAATATAACAGTACTTCTTCAATATACAGTATAGCGCTTTTTGTACTCTCAAAGATACTTCACTAAACACACTAAAAACAAACACAAAAAATAAGACATATCCAGTGTTTAGTTGATTCTTAAATAAGCTCATTGTTGCTCACATGATAGACAGATAAATCCATTTACAAGAAATGCAAACCACTTCTGCAGCATTCTTCTGCTAACCACACCTTACTATCATTAAATACAATAGGAGTGAGGAATCAAACACTGTGGGGAAAAAAAGTACTCAGAGGTGCTTATGTTTTGGGCATCCTCAATTATGAAAGACAAAATTAGAAAATCCTATTGTATTTCTTGGTATCATCCGACCATAGGACATTTTCCCGGCCCTCTTCCGGATCATCCCAATGCTCTCTATTAAACTTCAGACAGGCCTGGACATGTACTGACTAAAGCAGGGGAACTTGCTTGGCAATGCATCTAGAGAAAACTGTGAAGCATGGGGGTAGAAACATCATGCTTTGGGGATGTTTTTTTCCGCAAAGGGATCAGAACGATTAATCCGTGTAAAGAAAAAAATGAATGGGGCCATAAGTTGTGAGTTTTTGAGTGAAAACCATAGACTGTAAATATTAACGGACGTAGTCACGCCTATCTCCGCCGTTCAAACTAATGGGCCAAAAATTTTGCTCTACTGGAGCTATCCAAAATGGCCGCGAGTGGTCCCACCCACAAGAAAATTGCGAAAAAACACATCTGCGCATGCGTCAGCCGGCGCGAGCTCCATTCATTTAAACGAGTGCCTTCAAAAATGTACAATGACTAAACCAGAGTGGTCCAAAAAAATTCACCCCTTCAGCATTGACACACATGTGGAACAGAGCTTTGGGCCAAGAGCCAACTTTTGGACCATCCTGTAAAGACGAGAGGTCAGCTAATGCTGATATATGTTAGCATTGGCTAATTCTTATTCTGGGTCCACCCCCATCGGCCCGGGGTGGTATTGCAAGCATGTCTGCGCACGTCATTTTGGCCACTTTTGAGCTGGGACCCGCCCCCTCTGGTGAAAACCTCCTTCCATCTGCAGCGGGGGCATTGAACATGATATCAAGGTCCTGGAGTGGCCTCGACAGGCTCCAGCTCTCAACTCTCTAATTTGTGTTTCCCAGTGACAGCCCCAAAACATCACGACTCTAGATGAGATCTGCATGGAGGAATGGGCCAACATATCAGCAACAGTGTGTAAAAACCTTGTGAAGACTTAGAGAAAAAGTAGTGGTCTGTTTTGAACATTATTTAAAAGATCTTCCTGGATCTTTTTTCTCATTTGGTCTCGCAGTTGAGGTATATTTACAATGAAAGTCTCTCTTTTTCAGAGTGAGTAATTATATGCTAAATACTTTTTTTCCCCATTGTACATATTATCTTAACCTTGACCAGTTTAAACAATGTTGGCATTTTACTGGAATCAAACTCTCTAAAAATCCTCGTAGGCATCTGACTAACGCAATGTCAATAATAAGCTATTGTCTACGGCTGTAGAGCAGTAGTACAAGTTGAGAACTGTCAAACTGCACTTATAAGACCAGATATGCATATAGAGAAGATATACAGAATGAAAGAAAACAATAGCAATCATCCTAGTTATAATATTGACCAAAGGGCTTCTCTCATTACATTGCCACGAATTAAAATTATTTGTGTGTAAATAGCTTGAATATAAAACAATAACAATATCAACAACTAAAAGATGTACATTGAACTTGATGGCCTTGAGAAATAAACTCTCAACTCAAGTTCTTTTCTACCTGGAACACAGATCTACACACACACACACGTCAAAGTCAAAACCCATTATCTTCCCAGTTTCCTCTTTTTATGGATGAACACAGATGTGTTCATTCATGTGTACCGTTTTTATTACAGTATTCTTGTTCCTGGCAAGATGGCAGCTGGTAGACAGACAGGAGAGTCTATCCGGTGATTTAGACTGCCACTGATGGTACAATCATTGAGGATTAAATCGAAGGACGCTACAGAGAAGTGTAGGGAGCGCTGCATGGCTATAAATTACAGTATGTGAGATTCAAGCCAGCCAGTTGGTCTTATGAGGTTGCCACCAATGCTCACAGCCTCAGTCCCTCGCTGATCCTTCGGCAGGTGGTGAGTCCAGGATGATGGCTGCTGCTCCGACAGTGGACGATCAGCAAAGGACTGGTGTATTGAGCATTGGGTGGCAGCTCTGATTGCTGGATGAATTAATCTTAACAAAAACATAGATAAATGCTTGAAATAGTTAAGGCATAAGCATGTTTTTTTTTCTTTGCAGGTTGCCATTTTGCAGAAAATATTAGATATCATGCCTAATGGCAATTTTATAGATTTATTTTCCTAAATCACAACTGTAGCTAAACCTTTGATCGTCCCTCAGTGGAGAAATTGAAATGTCATAGTTGTTCACACTACAGCAGAATAGAAGGTGAAATAATGTAATTGCTTTAACATCAAGTCTCTCTGATTATCCCTGAACACTCTTCCTCCGACCCACACCCACTGTGCTGTATTGCCTCTCGTGAGAACATCCGGCGTCGTGCTTGTGCACTCAAGTCCAGAGTGTCAAAGGAGTCCGTGGAGAAGAGACTGTCCTCACTCACTACGGACGAAGGACGGCTCACCTCTCCCACTCCAGCACTGGATAGAAGCCGCTGCAAGGTCTCTGGCAGTGTAGCAGCTTGGAAGGACAAGTCGCGGTGATCAGGGAGGTCGAGACTGCGCGAGAACTTGCCATTGCGTTTCAGAATACCTTTCCTTCTTCTCACCGCCTCTGTGCGCAAGGTGGGGCTCTCGTCTGTGGCAGAATCCAGTTTGGACGAGCACAAAACACTAGTCTCATCAACTGCAGAGCTAGCCTTTGCAACAGAAGGATCATAATCATCGTAAAGATTCTTGAGGATTCCCTTTTTGGGCATTTTAGACGAGTGGTGGTTGAGTGTAGAACGTCCACTGTTGGATATGTTGTCATTGCTGTTTCTTGCCATGTCGACGCTAGCCTGGCTGTGAAAGACAGAGTCAAAACTTCTCTGCTGTTTGAGGATTCCTTTTGGCTTCCTGCCTGCGACGGTAGAAGCCGGACAGGCCACCCGCATCGCACTCTTAGGGATTGCGTTCTCCTTGCGAGACTTTTTAAGGCTACCCAGTCCCTGCTCTGGCTTCAGGGGTAAGCTGAAGAGGCTAGAAGCAGTGGCCTGATTCTGCCAGTCAATGTAGCGGGCAAGCAACGGAGAGGGGCAGTCCTGAGCGGAGCTGGGGCAGTCGCACACACTCTCCTCGTAGCCCCAGTTCACCCACCAGTGGTTTGCCACGTCCTCAATCGTGGCTCTGTCCTTCGCACAAGCACTCAGCAGCCAGTCGATCAGCGCACAGGCATCTACAGAAAAAGTGGGAACAAAGAAATTCACTTCAATTCATTTCAATTTATGCTCACCTAGCCTTAAGACACAACATTAGTCGTCTCTGAGGACTTCACCAACCAAGATTCGAGAATCAAGCACTGTTCAAAGCTTAGAGTTTTAGGATTTAGTTGATTACTTATATACAAAGCATGCACATGAATAAGAGCTGGCTTTTGATAAAGAAAATATTTCCCTATTAGCATTATTTTTCTTCCAATAGGGAAGAACTTGGATGCAAATAAACAAAACAGAATTTTGCTCTCCCAATTCTTCTCTTGAATTGAACTGATCAATTGATCAGTTCAGTTCAAAAATATTGATTTCAAAACTTCACCAAATGGGTTGGGAGTGTGGGTTGGAAAAAATCCACACCCGCACATACAAAGACAAAGAATAACTATTTCACAGTGCATTAACTTTAATAATAATTTAATAACAATATCAAGTTAAATTATTAAATCAATATAACTTAATATGGTTTTTTTTCAGCCCCCGCTGAAAGATCAAGGCTATGCTCACACTCAGAGAGCAGCCGTCCTCCTGTGGACTCACCACCTGCAGAGGGTCAGTGAGGGGCTGGTGCTATGAGACTTGGGTGGCATCTCTGACTGCCACCCCCCTGACCCAGAAATGGATTAAAGGGTAGAAGATGGATGGATGGATGGATGGTTTTTTTTTTACTTAAAAAAAGGAAGTAAATAACTAATGTTTTACAACCCAATGCATGAGTTATCAAACAAACATTTTATTATGAATTATAACAACAGTGAATTCTGCAGATTCTGAGCTTGACAATTAGGTATAACATGACAAAGCTAAAGTCTAACCATAAAAATAGAAATAAAATCATTGAAATAAATAGATTTTTTAGAACTATGGAATGCGTGATTTTCCAACTCTATTGTTAAAATTCGACTGGATTTTTCCCCCCAGCCCTAGAGTAAATACAAAACCATTGTTTTACCTGAGGGAGGGTCTGGTCGGCGATAGCGACAGTGTATGATTTGCTCGATGAGTACTTTGTGACTTGCTCCATCAAAGGGCATGCTGCCGTACATCAACGCATACAGCAGAACCCCCAGGGCCCAGCAGTCCACCTCAAAGAAAGCATCACACGGAAACATTTATTATAACCCAACTATGTAGGCACGGGGAGAACATGCAAACTCCACTGAGAAAGGCCCTGTTCCGAGGTCCTGGGTTTGAACCCAGGATCTTCTTGTTGAGAAGCGGGAGTGCTATCCACTCAGCCATCGTGTTGTACATTGTAAAATATGCCTAAGAGATATGATACCTAACAAAAATGAATGAATGACAAAAAGCAAATCTGAAAAAGTTTTATATGACCATTTTGTCAACTTTCAATTTATCCTTAAGATGAAAAATATATTATTAATAGTGTAATATTTTCTCAGTTTGGCCTGATATTTTTTAAATTAGGGCTGTCAATCGATACATTTTTTTAATCGAGTTAATTACAACTTAAAAATTTATTAATCGTAATTTATCGCATTTCAAACTATCGGCAAAATGATGCCATATTTTTCCGTAAATGGTTGTTTGAATGGAAAGATAAATGATGACATAGTGTACACATGTACTGTATTTGTTTATTATAACAATAAATCCACATAAAAAGGCATTAACTTTCTGTCTGTAGACACTTTTTTTTCAGCACGACATATTCCGCATCTGCTAAAGCCTCCTCTTTATTCTTCTCTGTCTCATATCATCTGCTAAAGCCTCCTCTTTCTTCTTCTTCTCTGTCTAATATCATCTGCTAAAGCCTCCTCTTTCTTCTTCTTCTCTGTCTAATATCATCTGCTAAAGCCTCCTCTTTCTTCTTCTTCTCTGTCTCATATCATCTGCTAAAGCCTCCTCTTTCTTCTTCTTCTTCTCTGTCTCATATCATCTGCTAAAGCCTCCTCTTTCTTCTTCTTTGTCTCATAAAGGCTGTGGATCCTCTTCATTATTGTGCCTCTACAAACTATTGTTCATTACAGGGATGAGAATGGGACATTTGAAAAAAGTCTGAAATGCATGCCAGCTAATGGCTGTCATTAAATCTGTTTGATTTGCTCACAACATTTCACTTTGTGCAAAAACAACATGAAATGGTAGTGCAAAGGAAAAGTTAGGTACCCCAGCTTTAATTTAGCGTCTTTTTTCGCTTCGGGAGAAGTCTAGGGGGAGACGGACTGTTTCTTGCAGCGCTGTTTTTATTGTGCGTCCTGTGCGTGATCAGTGCACACAGTGGTCCTGTGCGTGTATATGGCATTGGGTACAGTACATGGCCGCGTTACCGCTGCACGCTCCCGTGTTGTTGAAAGCCGCTCATGAAAGCCGCTCACAGCTGCAGGACGCGGGAGGCCGCAGCTACCCCAGAACGCTGTGGATTCCCATTCACAGCAATTGCCCCCCGGTCACACGCGCGCGGGGTGCCAGTCACTTGGCACATGCGTTAAAAGCGTTCATTTTTTAAAACGCGATTAATGAAAAACATGAATTAACGCACGTTAACGCGATAACTTTGACAGCCCTAGTTTTAATACATAAATGGTTTGGGGTCAATTTCTACCATGAAATCTCTCTCTTACCTCTGGGCCTTGGTATGGCTGGCCTTGGACGATCTCTGGTGACGCATAGAGAGGACTACCACAGTACGTCTGTAGAAGAGTACCCTTTTGGAAGTGGTTTGAGAGCCCAAAGTCCGCCAGCTAGAACCCCAAAGAATACAGATTCAATAAATGAAAAAACCATAAATAGGTGTCAAATAAACAGAGACATAAATGGGAAATGTGTTGTGTGTAAATGTGTTCTTTTTCATAACTGGGTTGGAATAGGCTTTTTCGGGTTTTAATTAAGAGCTCTGAATAAATAAATAAAAACAGTGGTAAAATGCACACAAATGTCATTACAGAGAACAGTGAAAAGGCTAAAAAAAGGACACAGTATTTACAATAAAAAAATTACACAACTCTGACTCGCTGCTGCAGTCAATGTTACCTTCTGGTCAGCCATATCCGCCTCAGGGCAGACCAGCACAATTTAAATATCCCTGCTTGCCACTACCACAAAAGATCACCCTTATAAATGAAGAATTCAGAGAAATAAAATCACAATTTGATGTCTACCAACATTCAATTACATAACAATCAGAATTTACAAAGAGGCAAAACAACATTCCTTTGAAATGGACTATGAACATGCGGGCTGCAAGGATCACCTGATGGAAGAAGCTGTTGCACACAAGCTCACACAATTGTTTAAACACTGTCACTAAGCTGCTCTGCTTTCTATCACAGTTACTATGACACAAAACAAGTTATACATTGGATTGATTGGGCACTTCTCAGTATCATTATAGCTTATAATAGAGGTTTTCATTGAAATTATTGACATTTGCTAGTTTTAAGTTTAGCCTTAACAGAGTAAATACACTATATTCATTATGTGAACTGCAAGTGGGACCAGACAGAATTCAGTTCAATGTAAGTAAGTAATCTTTATTTATATACCGCCTTTTCACTGCAGATCTGAGTCTCAAAGCGGTTTAAAATTGTTAATTTTTGGGCATTTGTCTCTCACTCCACACAGAGATGGGAGCGGGGTCGCCAGTACAGGAGGCGCATGCCAGAACTATTGGACATATTTTTAGTGGTACCCGGAGGAAACCTACGCAGACACAGGGAGAACATGCAAACTCCACTCAGAAAGGCCCTGGTCCGACCGGGATTCGAACCCAGGACCTTCTTGCTGAGAGGCGAGAGTGCTAACCACTCAGCCACCGTGCCGCCCAATGTAATTTTCTTTAGCCCTAAATCACAACAGTAGTTATTTTGGAAGACTTTACAAAGCTGTTTATTCGCCAACATAGATCATAGAATCAAACAGTTCAAAAACAAGAAATGCATTGATTAAAAAGACACATAGAGCCATTGGTCCATACATCTTGAGAGTCCAAAAAAGTAATTGAATGTTGGTGGCAACTATTAAAATTGCAGGAATTTTAATAGCTCCCATACATTCTACTTTGAGCATTATGCCCATGCATGTGCAAGAGATTTCCTAATGAGGCCAAAAAGTGAATGACTTCAATATACTTACACCAGCACTGAAAGAATGTGTTTGTACATAGTGAATGTAGTACTTTTGGTCACATCAAAGGCTCTACTCAGAGTGAGTCATCCACAGATAAGAAAATCTCCAAAAAGTAACTCTTCGGCCTTTGTTTTGATCAGCCATGTTGTAAACATAGAAGTGGATTAAGCTAAAAGTCTAAAAGCTCAAATTTGAAAATGTATAACTGATCCCAAAAACAACTCCACGATCATCCGACTTCTCAAATGCATCGCATTCAAAAGTGCGGCTGGTGCTACCACTTTAACAGGATTATCTTGAATAAGTGACTCGTCACAAAGACCTCTTTATTGCATTGTATTAAGTGTAATGATGATCAGGCTTTTAATTCTATAACTGGAAATGATTATGTTTGATGCACCGTTCATCATCATTATGAATGTTACGAGGGTGGCATGGTGGTGGCTGTAAATTAGCAGTGAGGAGTTTTACAACCAAAGTTACGTACAGTATTATGTACAGTACGTATGCGTCTGTCGTGTACAAACTCCTGCAATGTGCCTCCTGTTGTCAGTGTGGTTTGCTGTTGTGCACGGTGGAAGCAACACTATTAGTAGCACCTGTGAAATGAAAACATAACTCTTGCATCCCTTTTGTCCTTTATCAACTAATGTATTTCAAGATGGCGCATTGTCATGGAGAGTCCTCCAGCCCTCATGTACATTTTTAGGTCAAACTAAGCATATGACAACACTTGACAAAAATATGATAAACGTATGATATAAGGGGCAGATGACCAATGTCCATAAATGTTGCTAAATGTCCATAAATGTTGCTAAATGTCCATAAATGTTGTTGTCTGTCTACATGGTTTCACCAAAACAAATATTCAAGTCAGTATCACTACCAACCTATAGTAATTTGGAACCAGAACTGCATAAAATGAAAGATGAATATTGTTACGTCCGGCTCAGCTAGGGAGAAAGAACGTAGCAAAAGACCAGATGGAATTGGTATTTGTCCATTTTAAAGTACGTTTTTAATGATGACAGAAAATAAAATGAATTTGGAAACGAAGGAGGAATACAGAAATAATAAGAATATTGATAATACAAAACGAACTATACAAAACTAGAGCTCAAAATTACAAAGTGACAACGTAAGGGAACAGAACAATACAGGAGGAGCAGTGACGGCAGACTGGCACGGACAAGTCCAGCTGCCCCGAGCTGACGGCAAGTGGGAGGTTTTATGGGGACGCCCTCAGTGATGGATCCCCGGGGTTGGAGGACGTCCACGCTCTTGTCCCACTACAGCCACTCAGGTGTCAGACCGGCCACGCCCACACTTCAAGTCCCTCCAATAGATCTCCCGCACAGACACCTGTACAGAACACGAAGGTGCACACACAAACACAAAGGGCAACGGGAGCGCCATCTAGTGCACAACTGGCACAATAGGTCGTTGCCCGTAACAAATATCTACAGATACAGTACATCCAACTATTAGATTATATCTCCTGGGTTTTTCCCCAGGGTCAGCTTTATTTACCACAGCAGGCCAATGTTGCAAATCTGCAACATCTTAGAATGCATTGCCTGTGAAGGTCTCTCTAAAAAGAACCAGGATTGCTGCCCCATTTGTTAATTTTCCCCAAATATCAGATTTTTCATGTATGGAAAAATGAATTCGGCCCTGAGAGGGTCAAAGTGGAGTGAAGGTACGCCCTAAAGGTCAGCAGACCATGGGAATAATAATGGTGTGTGCTTACCTTGACATTGAGGTCTTGGTCTAGGAGAATGTTTTCCAACTTTAGGTCTCGATGGACAACACCATTCTGCAAAAAAACATCAGATTTATGCTCAATTTCTTTACCAGTGTGCACCAGACAATTACAGACATAAAACAATCTAAAAAGTACAAGAACATACTGTAGCACAGAAAGAAAGAGGCCGAACAAATAAAAAAGTAAAAACAGTGGGAGGAGCTCAATAACTCAAACACACATGAACCACTCTATAGCTTGGTGTGTTAAGGGAAAATTATAACATGATAAAAAGCTGTGAAAAGTCCATTTAGCCTGTAACCTATCCTTTAAAATACAGTTTTGATCCTATGTTTGGCGAATCCCACAGAAAGCCGCAGTGACCCATTTTTGTCACTAATTACTTTCAGCATTCCCAGCACGTGAGGAGAGAAAACAAGAGCCCAAACGGCCTTTTAGAATTCTCTGCGAGCCATTCCAATGCCACTTTTGTCTTTCTATGAAGCTGCAAGACTAAATGTGTGCCCTAAATACTTTGGCAGCATATTCAATAATTCAGACATGAACGGCTTCTATTTTCGGAACAGTCGAGGAGGTTGAGAAGAGTTACTGATTCAAAGCAAGACGAAAGTTACTGCTGGTTAAACTATGGTAAAAAATATATATATTCATGAAAAGCAAGAGAAAGGACTGATAGCACAATTCTCAACTGTAAAAGTGCAATAGTTCTGGTAGAGATGTACATAAAAGGTGTGGGGAAGCTGGCCCGAGAGTCAAAATGAGACGGCAGAACGCATATTAAAATAATAGATGAAACAGATTTATTTTTGCACAAGCACAATAAACAGTCCTGTTCCTTGGGTGTGACTCCTCCTGACGAGGTTCACCTGTGAGGTTTTATCATTGTAGTTCCGCCCACAAGGGTTTGCCTACAAAACAAAATGGCTGTCCGAGACACACCCTCTTCAACAGGTAATACATGCAATAAAAATGGCATTAAAAAGGGACAAAGGAACCTGCTTTGTCACACACCCCCCCCTCTTATAACTGTTACTCCCCAGAGTCACAGAAGTTAATACATTTACGATACACATGAAATAATTAACATTTTTAAATAATGAAGGTACATTCAAAAGTCCCAAATGCTCCTCTTGTCAAGAGCATGGTCTCCACTGACAGTACCTCAGTTCTTGGAAGAATTCTACCCAGCACAGTCTCAAGCAGACCCAACAATTCCGGCCTCTTGAACATTACCCCACAGCGGGGTCCTCAATCCGGAACACTGTCCGAACTCCTCAGGTGATTCCATCTGCACACACTTGTACCGGAACACCGCTCCACAGCTTCAATCCAGCCGCTCATTGCAACCACCGGAATCCGCTGCAATCTTCAGCCTCAACCGGCCAAACTCAAAAATAGGTTCTGCAAGCCAAAACAGTTCCAGATCCTTCCACAGTAGAGCTCCACACAAGATGCCATCCTCTCAGCAGGGGTCATCTCTGCAAACTCTTCACTACTTTCCGCACCTCTGGCTGGTGATCAAAATCTTCCTCCATGTTTCTTTCCTCATTGTGTTGACTTCCATTTGGGGTGTTGTGTTGTCTCTCCTGTTCTCCTTCTGCCTCTCACTGGCCTGGATCCCACCACTGCCACCATATGTGGGGAAGCTGGCCCGAGAGTCAAAATGAGACGGCAGAACGCATATTAAAATAATATTGATGAAACAAATTTATTTTTGCACAAGCACAATAAACAGTCCTGTCCCTTGGGTGTGACTCCTCCTGACGAGGTTCACCTGTGAGCTTTTATCATTGTAGCTCCGCCCACAAGGGTTTGCCTACTAAACAAAATGGCTGTCCGAGACACACCCTCTTCAACAGGTAATACATGCAATAAAAATGGCATTAAAAGGGACAAAGGAACCTGCTTTGTCACACAAGGTCTTGCCCATAGTGAGGTTAAATAAGACATATGCTACAGTGGGAATCTTGTGGGCAATTGTTACATTTGAAAGATGACGTACCTATAACTTCCAGTGATCCGTCTGCAAATGAGGTTCCTCACGGATACAGTTATTTGAATTTCAATTTAACAAAAACGGAAATGTAATAAAAATCCATGTCACTAGTTTCTCGCTCTCAAAAAAGTTCTATCAGCAGTTTTTGTATTTTTGGCCTCTGCCACATACGTTAGCTCATCTTGTTCAGACATATCTAATTATTGATATTCAAACAATGCTGTAAACATACAGTACATATACCTCCTCCCTCCTGGACACTCTACAGTTTGCCTACAGAGCCAACAGATCTGTAGATGACGCCATAAACTTAGGAGTACCTCCAGCACCTGGAGTCCCCAGGATTCTACGCCCGTGTCCTGTTCGTGGACTTCAGCTCTGCCTTCAACACGATCCTGCCGTCCCTGCTCCAGGACAAGTTCTCCCAGCTCAACGTGCCCAATTCCCTCTGTGGGTGGATCAATGACTTCCTGACGGACAGGAAGCAGTCTGTGCGTCTGGGGAAGAATGTCTTGGACTCTCTGATTTCAAATGTGTTCTTTGTCCCCCGCTCTTTTCCCTGTAAACACACCACTGCTCCTCCAGCCACGAATTCGTGAAGCTCATCAAGATCGCGGATGACACCACCCTCATTGGACTCATCTCCGACAACGATGAGCTGAACGCCCAGAAGACAGTGGAGATTAATTTGGACTTCAGGAAGTGCCCAGTCCTCCCACCCTCCCTGTTGGACTTCCCCATCACCTCTGTGGAGTCCTATCGTGGAGTCCACCACCTTCACCCAGGACCTCAAGTGGGAGCCGACCATCAGCTCCCTCATCAAAAAGGCCCAGCAGATGATGTACTTCCTGCGGCAGCTCAGGAAAGCCAAGCTGCCTGCACAGATGTTGGTGCAGTTCTACACGGCCATCATCGAGTCCATCCTCACCTACTCCATCACCGTGTGGTTCGCTGGAGCCACTGTCAGGGACAAGCAGAGACTACAGCGCATTGTGCTCTCTGCTGAGAGGGCTGGTCGTGTCACAGCTAACCCATCTCTCCCCGCACATGGACTGTTCCAACCTCTCCCCTCAGACAGGAGACTACGGTCCATTAGGACCAGAACCTCCCACCATAAGAACAATTTCTTCCCCTCTGCTGATGGACTCATGAACACTTCATAACCTTTTAAAAGTCCCTTTATAATCTTAACCAGTGGATTCGGTATTTGGCGGAACCCCAAAAATCTGGATTTGGTGCATCCCTAGCACAGTGTTTTTCAACCACTGTGCCGCGGCACACTAGTGTGCCGTATGATATTGTCTGGTGTGCCGTGAGAAATTCGTCTACTTTGTCTAAAAATAACTGCATTCGCTGTTGACGAGCGGTAACTTGTTTTGAACTGTGGAGTAACCATGTAATACTTTTTCAAATCAGTAGATGGCAGCAGATAGCTAAGTACTTTGAAACTGAAAAATTGGATGCGACCACTGGCTGTAACAGGTCAGCATTGTGGCGAGAAAGGTAAAATTGGATGCGACCAACAAATGTGGGAGGGAGCGAGACAAGAGCTTTGTGGCGAGTGAGAAGTGAAAGTGATAGAGACGTTTTTGAAAATGAATTATGCCGTTTCTGAACAGGATTAACATCCTCCGCTCTGCCCCGGGGCAGCTGTGGCCGCGTTGTAGTGGTTTAACTATGAAATGTACAATTTTTGTACAACAGCTCTCACGAACGCACTTCTGAACTGGGTACCGAGCGCAGACCATAGTCGAGTGGACAGAACCATAGACATGCGGACCGGACAGAACCATGGACTCGCGTTCAGGACCTCCCGTGTCCCTCATCCAAAACTCCTGAATTTAAAGCTCGGATACCTAAATTTTTCCCATGCACTAACAATGCATGTTCTTTGTGTGAGTTATTATTTGATTTTTGATTTTTGATATTTGATTTTTTTATTTTGATTTGGGCAGAGAGTGGATTTTCTTAGTTTTTTTCCACACAGTTAGTGCCACTTTATTCCCAAACTCTTGTTAATTGTATCGAGAAATATTAAATAAAGCTTAATGTCAAGGCCTGGACTTAAGCATTTTGATGAGAATAACTGTATATTGTGAATATAGGCTACAGAGTATACTGTATACATTATAAGATAAGATAAACTTTATATATCACACAGAGTATGTACAGTATATATTTTTTTACATTAGTACTGTATACATTTTTACATTTTCTCCTGGAGGTGTGCCGCAAGATTTTTTCAGTGAAAAAAGTGTGCCTTGGCTCAAAAAAGGTTGAAAAACACTGCCCTAGCAGATACAGTGCACGCACTCACTACACACTTCCACACCTCATCATAATATTAACTTTGGTTATCAATAAATATTATTTCAATTGGCAACTATTTTAGCATGTTTTTGTCATTTCTACTGAGCCTGGTTATGACACTCACAAGACATATAACTGATACACATGAGGGCAGGGTAGGTCATCACACAACAGTAAGTAGACAATTAGTAGGAATGAACAGTGGTAACAAGTTACAAAATAAAAAATAAAACAGAAAATAAACCTAAACCCTGACAGATGTAGTCTTTTTTTCCTGAGAGACTTTGCCAAGGGCACCTTCTTTACAATTACTGCAACTAACTACAGTGGAAAAATAGTGATACATATTTCCATTAATATCTAAATGTTTACATTTTTACACAGTTGTATAAACTATCCAGGTCTGTGATAGGTAAACACTATAGAGCAGAGGTCGGTATGAGCCAAAACAGTCTCATGCTTTAATATATAGTTCTGCAGTAGACACTATTTATTGTGAATATATGTGATTTTTAAACAAGATCAACACATTTAGATTGTAATAGTTGTGTCAGAATCTATTCTCTTGTTTATTAACATTTTTACACAGAAGAAATCCAACACATAAAACCTTCTTACAAATAATGCTAAGATTTGTCTGAAAGCCGGACACAATCACAAAAAAAGCAACATCTGGCTCCTGAACCATAGGTTCCTGACCTCTGTTATGGAGTGTTGAATAAAAAAAAATATCGAGAGTTATTTTGATCTTTTTTGTTCCAAACCCAAGGTTCTGCAAAGGGAAGCGCTCCAGTTCACTTTTAAGCCTGGGAATGTCGCGGGGAGGAGCGGGAGTTGTAGCCACTAAAAAAGCCTTATAAAAGTGCATGTAATTTTTTTGAGGAGACCCCAGGAAGAATATAGCCACTGTACCTCAGTGGCCAATGTGGATCTTAATAAACTAAACTTAATAAACATCAGTCATTCAGTTTCAAATTAACATTTTTGTTGGAACAGGTTAAACTCGTATTTGATTGAATAGGATGTCAGAATATTGTGCAGTTTTGAGTGATAATATTAAATGTTTGCACATACCAATAGAAACAAGGGCATAATGGTGATGTTGTTTTTGGGGCTTACAGTAGAAAGGAGGGGGTCTGGTTTAATGACTGTTCCACTAATGCGCTCTTAACCCAGAGATCTGAGGAACAGAGTCAAGTTCGGCTGCGGATTTAGGATTTAGGGCATTACTGGTACAGTATGTGATTCAGCACGTGTCTCTGTATTTGCATCCAGATTGTGTAAACGCAAAACTGGAAAAAATAAAATGAGAAGAACATGATAATCTGAGGCAACCATGGACGCCAGGAGACCAGGGGAAGACCCAGGACACGCTGGAGGGACTAAGTCTCTCAGCTGGCCTGGGAACGCCTTTGGTTTCCTACGGATGAGCATGAGGAAGTGTGAGTGGAAAAGTGTTGATCTCAACAGAATCATGTTCTGCACAGAGGATCATCACCACTGTCTGACCACATGTGTTTTAGCTGTTATCAAATACAGCATAGAAAACATGTGCTGCGTTTGTGCTGTGTGTGTGATTCTATTCCTTCGAACAAACCTTGTGGAGGTAGTGAACTGCAGATGTGATCTGTCTAAAGAGGCTTCTGGCCTCTGTCTCCTGAAGTCGTTTTCTTTCCTGGATGTAATCGAACAACTCTCCTCTGCTGGCGTACTCCATCACAATCACAATCTTGTCTTTGCTCTCAAACACTGAAGGGACAAACGGTAAACAATAAGATTGTAAGTGACCCACCTATTCAAAAAGCAATTCAAAATCAATGATTGTTTTGAAACAGGAAAACAACAAGTTTATGTGTCTTTCCAATGGTGGTTTCAGGCTGGGTCTCAGGACTACCAGAGCTGCAGGATTTACCTAGTGTGCATGTGTGCATGTCATATATGGTCTATGACTTTTACATATGTGGGTATTATAAACTCACATACTTTTAAGTAAATAAGTAATATTGTTCATGTTTTTAGTGGCAGAGGAACACCACCGGAGCACTCAGAGAAATCTTTTGCAGACACGGGTCAGACACTCCACACAGAAAGGCCTCATCTGTAGGTGGAATCGAACCCAGGACCTTTTTATGAACCACTGTGCCACCATGCTGCCTGTGTTCCTTCCTTTAGCTCACATACAGTGCTTGTACTTGTGCTCTTTCTCTAACTTTTCAAAAAGTGATGAAAAATAAGTCAGAAATAGCTCAAATTTGGCAAAATGTATCTTGATTTGTGCACATTTTGAGGCTCTTACAGCAAGATTTGGCAATGGGACAAACAAAATGATTTTGTTTTCAAAAGATACAAGAAGTGTCCCCATTGGAATGAGAAAACAAACAAAATCAAATCTTGACTTAAGACAGTCCGTAAGTACTAAAATTAAGATAAAAACCATTTGATTCAAGCATGTATTACCTCATATTTTATAATGTTTTGCAGTGTTGATACTTGTACTCCTGTAACCTTACCCTCGTGGAAGCGGATGATGTTTGGGTGCTGCAGGGCTGACGTGATCTCGATCTCTCTTTGAATGTGGATTCGGTCCAGGTCATCATGGATTCGCTCTTTTCTTATAGATTTGATGGCCACCTAAGAGACAGTGTACATCAACACTTGAATTGGAAGTAGCTCATCACCAGTGGCTACACCAGCTCTGCTGCTGTTACCTAAACTTCTGTGGGAAAGATTATAGTAACTTTTAGAATGATGTATTGTATGTGTTTGTATGAATGGATTTTCTTTTATTGCTGGACACTTGAATTTCTCCTACGAGGATCGATAAAGTATCTATCTATCTCTGAGAAACAGCCGCTGCTCTCATGATACCATACAAAATGTGGCTGCCAGATATTATTTAACCTCTTGTTCTTTCGTGTTTGGGCCTCTGTGGAGTAAAGTGGCCTTATGAAAGCAAAGGCCTGAACTCTGAACTGTTCTCAGCTGCAGGAAAAACGTCTCTGAACCAGTGGAGCGGACCATTCACATGCTCCGTTAGCCACTGCGCTCTCATAACTCCAATAACACAACACTTCAAGACTTGACCTCATATCAGGACAGAACTTTCATAACGTTTATTTTCTTCTCAACCCAATGCTGTGTGTTATTCCTTGCCTGTTCAAAAGTCCACCAGTGTGCACCAGACATGTACATAAATAAAACAACATAAAAAGTATAGGAATAAACAAACTAAAAAAGTACAGGTCCTATCTTGGTAATTGCTATAATTGCATTTCCTGAGTTGAAACTGTTTGATTCTCTGATCTGTTGCTGAGGAATCGAATTTGTAGTCCACAGAGACGACTGCTGTTGACTACGCACGAAGAAAGACATATATTTCTTTACCACCCAATTTTATAAAACATATTTAAACAATTTTATGACAGAAAATATTATAAAACAGACTAATCACATAAATGTTAGCTACACGTCTGTCCCTGTTCCGGCACAAAGCTAACACCGCCAGAACAAACTGCGGTTGTGTCCTTAGGCAAGACACTTTAATTAATGAGTCCGGTGTGGGTGGGAATAGTTGGTGGTGGTTGGGGGTGCTGGTTTCCTCCTGCTAGCTTCTTTCGCAACAAGGCTAATACCTAATGAATATCATCAAACCGCTTAAATCTTAATAGACACACACACACACACACACACACACACACACACACACACAGTTTAAGGAATTAGGAGCATTTCAGCTGCACGTGGGAACTTTTCTCAGCAGATATCACAACAATGTACTCAGCCTCTTAAACTATAATCTTTGATACTGAGCAAGACTTTTATGAACAGAACAGAAATATAGTGGCCCAACGCAACATCAACTCAATCTACAATCACGATCTAACTAGAAATAATTGAGTACTGAGATTGCACACTGGAAATGCAATAATAACAAACACAGAGGAGCCATATTGGATCATAGGGAGCAGGATGACCAATGTCCGGGAATGTTAATAAATGTCCTTGATCACCCGTGTTTTTGGACCCTCCTGCATCGGCACAAAACGCCTCAAATAACCCAGTGGGGAAAACAGGGAGCATAGTTATAGGTGTGGATACAGTAGGTATAGTGCCCAATAGCACACAAATTTAAAAAGGTGCAAAAGCCATACTTACAAGGGACATACAAGGGATACAGTCTAATTTGAAACGCAAAAACTAATAGTTCATTTGTGGATGTATAAAATATATTTCTTTATTACAGTGTGTTCTATTCACATTTTTCCATAATCACACGTCTTAGCTTCCAAAACAACAGGGCTCTGGTCTTGTTTCCAAAAATAATGTTCGTCGTGTTTGGAAGAATGCTTGGTATGTGCTGGCCGGCTTCAGGATTGCATTTGCGTGTTCAACCACAGAGCAGGACCCGGCTACTCCATCACCAATTACGGTCTTTGAATAAAACAAACAACCCCACTTTTTTAAAGGGCACATGGGAAAATTATGTTTTTGAGTTTTTAACCATATGACAACTTTGTTCTCTCATCAAAAGCAAGGTTTTTGACATTAATTGAAATGATTAGATGATTTGTTTTGAACCTGCACAACCTATGTCCTCACATACATGAACATAACAAAGGTACAGAGTTTGAAAAGGGGTGGGGGGTTGAAGAAAAGGCTTATTTTATTCCATCCCTCATCCCACATGCCACACTACACTGCTAAAATAACATCAAGTAGTAGAACTATTGGTAGTATTATTGGTTAAAGTATTGTGAAGCTTAAAAAAAGGCAGCAAAAAAATGTTTTCTTTATTGAATTGTATCAGCAAGTATTGAAATGTATCAAATCGTATTGAATTGGAAGTCTCCTGTTTCTCAATATGTGTAAGATTCTGACAGATACCCGGCCATAGAACAGGTGTTACTTATGTTATGACAGCACGTAAAGTTCGTAAAAAGTCTGTGACCAAAACAGCTTTAAAGTAGCAATATATAAGATTTCTATGTCAAGTCATCATTAAATGGCCCTAACATGTCAAAAGACACTTTAAAACTTCAAACTTAACACTTCAAAATTTGTTTTATAGCCCGTAAATCTTGTAAGTTTTTGTTTTCATTTCGATGTCCCGCCCTTCACCGTTTCATCAATCAGAAAGTCTGTGATCCGGGTTGCCAGAAGTCACTCTTGAGCTAATCTCACTGGTAAAGTAACATGTGGCCGCAGTACTAAACAAGTTGTCGTTATGATTCTCAAATCATTAATGACAAAAAAGGAATAATAAAACAAGCATTTCTATTGAGGCCTTTGTGAAAAAGGTGTTGGTTATAAATTTGTTGTTGACAAAACTCTTGTTTATTCACCTATTATGGTCCCAGCTGGATTCGTCTGCATATCTGGGAACCTGAGTCAGGGAGAGTGGGAGAGGTTGCAGCACCACTTTTGACCAGATTTTGCTCCTTTAAACCAAATACTCCCTGCCCTGTTGTTTGCGTGTCACACTGACATATATATTTTTGAGGTATGTAAAGTATATATCCTATGGGAGAGGTCTATTGTTGTAACGTTATCCTCTTGTTGAAGTGAGAGTGAGTCAGGACAAAGGCATCTGAGCCTGGCAGCACAGGAAGCAGCTCCGGCCTCATGAGCTCACCATGGTTCACACACACCGCGGGGACAATCACCAAACAACAGCACAAAATGCACAGAGCCTTTAGAGAGTTGGTGCGCTGATAACAGGCTTAAGGAATGCAGTTATATTATCAACTTATGATACGACGGTTCCTCTGGCAAGAAGCACAGTCACATTACAAATCGATAAGAAAAAGATTTAGATTGTGAGCCGGATTACTTCCAAAATGCATTAACTACACTACCTAAAGTCAGATATTGTATTTCATATGTTCTTCATTATGTTAAAGTTGGAGATTTTATACTTACTTCTATATTATGCTAAAGCTAGAGATTTTATACTTCATAGTTGGAGATTTGTAGACTTGCCTCTTTATTATGCTACAGCGAGAGATTGTATACATGCTTCTGTAAAGTTAGAGATTCTATTGTATTTTATTTTCATATCCTTCATTTTTCTGTATGCTCGTCATTTCTGCTGTTCTGCAACTGGTGATGCAACATTGACATTTTCCCACTGTGGAACGAATAAAGGATCTCTTAATCTGAAAATGCCTTAAATATTTTAAGGCAATAAACGCTAATTACCTGAATAATTGGAACAGGATTAACCAATTATCTATTAACTGAGCCACTGTCGCCCCTTTATCTACATTAAAAATATGCATATGCGTTTTGATTATTTGTTTTCGATTAAACAGTATATTGGGCATTAAAACATGTAAAAGTCTTCCTTAAAAATGTCCCTAGGCGTCTTCCAGTTTTTGATTGTATAATATACTGCATGTGACCCAGGATATCCCCTCTCCGTCTGACACCTGGACCTTTGCATGTAATGAGTCTATATCACATATTAGTTTCACATTGTAAGATAAATTATAGAAATAAGTACACTTTTGAACAATTTTCACATTTTTTGTGTTTCACCTGAAAGTCAGGCTGTTCTTGACTCATGACAGCTCATTGCCATTGGGGCCTTTGGGCCTGAAGGTTAGACAAGACCTACTTCACGACTCCCACTGATGTCTGCTGCTGTTGTGTCCTTGGGCAAGACACTTTACTTTGCCTGAAGCCCCCAATGAAAGATCAAGGCTCCTGTGGACTCACCACCTGCAGGAGGATCAGTGAGAGGCTGGTGCTCTGTGTACTGTGCAGCTCTGACTGTGTTGCATCACAGACAGTACTGAGCAGCACACAGCAGAAGATTTATGCACAATACCTCAATACTAAAATAGAATAAAATGTCTAACTTTGGCATAGTAAAGAAGCAAGTTTCAAATCTCTAATATTAGCATAAAGCAAGTTTAAAATCTCTAACCTTAGCAAAATAAAAAAGCAAGACAAAAACCCGTTATATTCTTGTGCAAGAAATACATAGTTGTTTAGTTGTATGAATACATCTGTTCATGTTTGCACATTCTGACATACAGTTATAGGCTTTTCTCACCGTGCGCATTGACGCCCTCTCCATCGCCTTCTTGACTTTCCCGTACGCGCCTCTGCCCAGCGTCTGCATCACTTCGTAGCGGTGTTTGAGGCTGTGTTTGTGCTGGTGCTTCTTCACTTCTGCCGGAGATGTGGAGGTTGAAGCGGGGGCCGAGGAGGGATATCCCGCCCGCTGCTGGGGTTTTCTCCGGGTGTTATCGCTGGGGTCGTGGGAAGAAGTAGAAACGGCGTCTTCCAGCTCGGAGCGCGCACTGGGGACCATGGCGCCTCCGCTGCCCGCATCCCGTCTTCCCATCACAGACGCAAGGACTTGGGCTACAGTGCTGCTTGGTCTGGGACTGGGATGTGATCTCTGGGACAGTCCCAACCAAACTTTCTCTCTCTCCCCTCTAAACAACAGCACAACAGCGACCACGTGAGCCTCCAGCTGGGCGGAGCTATGCGCAACATCCACTGGGTTCGGTTGAGCTACTTTTGTGCAACAGTAAAGCAGAAAGCTACTCTTTTTTGCATTCGTAATTCAATTTTAGCGAGTAACTTTAGCGTATATTTATAATCTGGCGGGGATTCCACCTCCAGGCCTTTCTGTGCGGAATTTGCATGTTCTTCCCGTGTCTGCGTAGGTTACCCCTGGGTGCTCCGGTTTTGCATCTAACACGTATCTTGTGTTTATTTTTTTGAACACCGTCATGGAGACTGTATATTGTGTTAGTAAACATGCACTGCCCCTGTCCCCATCACCAATGAAAAATTATACAATCAATAATTACAACAATAATACATTTAATTAGAAATAGATTTTGCACTAGTTAACGTGGGGTGTTAAATAAAGAGTATGTAATACTGTGCATCTCCACCAGGGGTCAGAAATAGCTCAGAGAAAACACTGACGTCTTGCTGTACATTCTTTTAGGCATTCTGTACTTTTAGGGCTTGTCCGCATTTAATATTTACAGTCTATGGTCCATACTAAAGGGTACGAAAGTGTAACAAAACCCTGTAACCCTGACCCGATGGGACTACAGATGGAAATTAGCCTTTGGCTATAATCTGGCGTGTTTACATTCATGTTTTTAATGTGGCTGTTCATTGACATGCACTGTCCCATTCATATAAATGAATAAATAAAATAAATAAAAATAAAGGCCAACAAATTATTTAAAAAATCTGAAGATATATTATGTTTTCCGTGTATCCAAAAACCTCTTCTGTACTAGAACCGTTTTTACAGTAGTCAGTTCTATAGCGGCTCTGTTTATTTATGTAACAGATGTGATGCCTTTGATGCAATGAGCTGTGGAAGTTTGTTAGATATGTTCAGATTTCCACATTTGATTAATACATTAATATTATTATTACACAGAGTAGGAACAAAATGATTAATATCATATATTAAACCAATGAAATGTGATACTAGGTGTTTTTTTTTGTTTCTTAGAAAAAAAATCGGGAATCATCTCACATCACATCTGTGGCTACTCCATCTCTGCTGCTGTGACCCGCCCTGCTCCACCCAGAGGCTACTCCATCTCTGCTTCTGTGACCTGCCCTGCTCCACCCAGAGGCTACTCCATCTCTGCTGCTGTGACCCGTCCTGCTCCACCCAGAGGCTACTCCACCTCTGCTGCTTTGACCTGCAGGGCTGTTGTTGATTATTACTATCGTTAGCTTTGATCAATTTTACTTTTAATTTTTGCTGCTACTGGACACCTGAATTTATTTACATCTGTAACACATTTTTCAAGGGACGTATGATTTTTTTAATGATTATTTTTCTATAAATACGTTAGGTGGCATCACTGATTGCCACCTAACCATTGCCATTGCTAGGGGCAATACTGGACTCAGACTTAAATTTTAATAGCCACATCAAATCAGTAACATCAGCAGCTTTTTACCATCTAAAAAACATTGCCAGGATCAAAAACATAGTGTCTAAAGCAGACTTGGAGATTCTTATCCATGCATTTGTCTCCAGTAGGTTAGCCTACTGCAATGGCCTGCTCACAGGTCTGTCCAAACAGGCTGTAAAACAGCTGCAGTACATTCAAAATGCAGCAGCTCGAGTCCTGACTAGAACCAGGAAGTACGACCACATTAGTCCAGTCCTCAGGTCTCTGCACTGGCTTCCTGTGGCTCAGAGAATAGACTTTAAAACAGCTCTGCTTGTGTACAAGTCTCTCCATGGCCTCGCACCAAAATATATTAGTGACATGTTAGTACCATATGAACCAGCCCGGACTCTGAGGAGCACAGGGACTGGACTCCTGTTAGTGCCCAGAGTCAGAACTAAACATGGGGAGGCTGCTTTTCAGATTCATGCTGCTAAAATCTGGAACAGTCTTCCTGAAGATGTGAGACAGTCCTCCTCTCTGACAATGTTTAAAACCAGGTTAAAGACGGTTCTGTTTAACTGTGCATACAACTGAGGGATTTTATATTTTTATCTTTCTTTTTAATGTTCTGTGATTATTTATGATTTTAATGCTTTCTTGTTTTGTTCAGCACTTTGAGTTGCCTTGTGTATGAATTGTGCTATATAAATAAACTTGCCTTGCCTTGCCACCCCCCTGACCCAGTAATGGATTAAGGAACAGATTAATTATTTGTCCAAAATTATTATTTTTTAAATCAAGTGATTTAAAAATGATTGTGATTCTGATCTTGATACTTATTGTTAGCCATGTTCATCTGTGACATTTCATCTGCCGCTTTGTCACTGATGACTGATTTGGTTGTTTAAAATGTTGCCAAAATGTATTTGTCAATCTTATATTTTGACCTTATAACCTTTTAAAGTCTAAATACTTTAGTTGACACTTCACAGTGAACACACCCTTTAGACAAGCCTGGCCTTAGCCACCCATAAGGTGTGGTAAGACCAGGCTAACTTTACACAAAAGCAGAAGTTATTTGTGTGCAGATATTTATATTGTAGATTCTTTAAGATTGTTTTTCCTTTGTTTCAAGAATCAAACCCACCCACATACATGTTTGCATAGTGTATTGAGTCTTTCCAGGTTTAATCTCATGCATGGAATCACTTGAGCACTCTGAGGAAGCCACCAGTCGAAGCCCTAACCCTTTCATTGTTGGTAAATTACTTTTTGAAATATGAATCATATGAAAACTGCAGACAGAACGTTTCTAAGGTTGTCCACTAGAGGGCAGAGGGGCCACAGACTCAGTCGTCCAGTGATGCAAAATCTGTTCTCAATCAATTAATTTCATTTTTGTACAGCCCTAAATCACAACAGTAGTTTTCTCAGGGGACCGTTGAATTTGCCAACACAGATCAGAAATTGAGTCCAGCATCACAGAGCCTGTTTAAAGTCTTTCAAAAAAGATTAGAAATTGTAAAATGTTGTAAACAAAAATAAATATAACTATGCTCAGCTCTTGTGTTGATTCAGTCTGGAAATACTAAAGACAAAGCTTTAATTATAGATTTATATTTATTGAATGTTTACATGAATATATTGTAGCTGTCGGTTGCAGATAATTGTTGCATTTGAACATGACATGACATGACACAGGGGCGACAGTAGCTCAGTTGGTAGAGCATTGTCCTTAAGGCCAGAAGGTCGTGGGTTCAATTCCCACCTCTACACCTTCTCCACCGACTCCCACTGCTGTCATTGTGTTCTTGGGCAAGACACTTAACCCAACTTTGCCCAAAGCCCCCACTGAAAGATCAAGGCTATGCTCACACTCAGAGAGCAGCCGTCCTCCTGTGTACTCACCACCTGCAGAGAGTCAGTGAGGGGCTGGTGCTATGAGACTGACCCAGAAATGGATTAAAGGGTAGAAAATGGATGGATGGATGGATGCTTGTAAAGTTTTGACAATTGCAGGTGGGAATTTAACAGAGAGTATGAGCTGGAGAACTCCCAGTGGTGGTGGTGGAAAGCTGAGGCGACAAAATGCCAATTCCTCCAGTGATGAGGTGGGGATGGGGAGGAGGTGGGTTACTGCACAAACAGCAGCTAGATGCATAAGCTGAGCAGCTGATGGTGCAGGTGTGCAGCAGAGACGGATGTGGAGGTGAGAGTGAACACTCAGGAACCCGTCTGAACTTCTTCTTTAACTACATTTTTATGGAAGGATGACAAGAACTGTTTGATTCTCTGATCTGTGTTGGTGAATTAAGAATACATTGAATTGAAAAGAATTGACAATTTAACAGGTCTCTCTCTTAAAATCACATTGAGCATACACCAAAGTACAAACCTCAAATGAACATTTTGTTTCAGCAGGAGAGCCAAATTTTTTTCTTGTTTTTGTGTAAAAGGTTATTCGCAAAGTTTACTCGTTTTCATGTATTAGTTCATATGACAGTGCACATTAATTAACATGACTGTAAGGCCCCGTTTAGACAGAGATTCTGCAAAGCAATTAGCAAAAACGACCAGGCATCTTATTTGAAGTGCACTTGATAACGTTGTAGTTCTAGCGCCCGGCCAGTAGTGGGCAGTGAAACTTTACAACACAACCATAGACTGTATACTGTATATTAACGGACAGAGTCACACCTATCTCCGCCGTTCTAACTAATGGGCCAGAAAATGTGCTCTACTGGAGCAATCCAGAATGGCCGCGAGTGGTCCCGCCCACAAGAAAATTGTGAAAAAAACGCATCTGCGCATGCGTCAGCCAGCGCAGCTCCATTCATTTGAACGAGAGACTTCAAAAATTCACAGCGAGTAAACTAGAGTGGACCAAAAAAATCCACCCCCCTCAGCATTGACACACATGTGGAACGGAGCTTTGGGCCAAGAGCCAACTTTTGGTCCATCCTGTAAAGACGTTTTCGAGAGGTCTGCCAATGCTATATGTTAGCATTGGCTAATTCTACTTCTGGGTCCACCCCCATCGGCCCGGGGTGGTATTGCAAGCATGTCAGCGCACATCATTTTGGCCACTTTTGAGCTGGGACCCTCCCCCACTGAACACAACACACGCCACACCCAGCCCCAAGCCCAGCAGCAGTATACTCACTTCCTCAACAACATCCTCCTTAGGCCACTGCAAAGACGTGAAAGAATGCACCAACCTCATTCTGCATTTAACAGTAGCCGGAAATGGAAACTGAAACTACAGCTTTGCATGGTGCTCCTCCGTGTAGCGTTTGAAGCACACATTAGCATTAGTGTACCCGTCACCATTGTTGTTTACGTCTGTTCTCGGCTCTGCATGTCTGTACTTGTAGGTGGTGGGGTCATAGCAGGCAGAGAATTCACACATTTTTCTTCATGCAGCTGTGAAACAGCCTTTGCTGAGCAGTGTGTTCTGTTCCACTCTGGGCGATATGTAAAAAATAAACGTAAATATTTCAAACCTGAATTATCGAGTAGATAACATTGATTGCTCAGTCACATACATCAGTGTAAACCCCCATTATATACTGTATTTGTGTGTGCTGTGTTCCTGTCGGTATATCTGCATCTTGTCTTCAGACTCATATTTTAGTATCAAGAAGTCACAAACTAGGAATTTGTTTTGGATGAAGGTGAAAATAAGTTTTAAAAGTAAAAATAGATTTAAGGCATGAATAAAAAAATCCTCAACAAATGTCTTAAAATTACAACTTTATAGAAGTGCACAGTAAGTATACTGTTAACAGTGCAGTAAAGTGACAGTAAGGTGACGGTTGGTCAAACTGTTTGTTGGGAAGTTCTGGCAGATTTGAACATACTGTAAGATAAGATAAGATAGACTTTATCAATCTCACACAGGAGAAATTTACTGGCATGGATAGAATCACTCAGAAAGGAAAAAAAATGTCTTTCTTCTAAAATAATAATAATAATGATAATAATAATATGATAATGACACAGTAGTGGTTTATGAACATTTGTCATCTGCCCTTCATGGATCAATGGTTCTATGTGTGTTTTATAGTTTCTTGAGTTGTCTCTGAATCGACCTTAATCCCTCCAAGATACTGCTGTTGTGATTCAGAGCTAAACACAAATAAATTGAATGGAATTGAATCGTTACATATCTTTAACTGCAGTTGGCGCTCTCTCGGAAGCATGCAGAGCTTGGGGTTGAAGCTGCAGCTAAACACCTTGGACCTGGACCACTTTCACTCCTCACTATCCGCTCGCTCGCCGTGCACGCGCAGCTCGCCCCCGGGGCCCTCCATCAGCCCCCTCACGTGATCCTTCCCGCACGCAGGGGGGAGGAGGGGACCGCTCTCTCTCTCTCTTTGGTGCTGAGGCTGAGGGCAAACGATGGCGCGGATGGAGCGCTAGGTTTTCCGATGATTTCTCTCCCGATTTCCCCTTAATAACCACCCCGAAAGACGACACTCTAACCCCGGGAGCGTCAACCATCCAGCTTTTCTACCGCCGCCACCGTCTCCACCGTCGAGATGGGGAACGAGGCGAGCATGGAGGGCGGTGGGCAGCCTGGCGATGCCGCGATGATGGGCTCCGCGATGCCCGCTGCTTCTGCTGGAGGAGCTCAGGGCATGATGGGACAGCATGGCAAGCCGCTAAACGGGTCTGCAGCCGGGGGAGGAATGGCCCAGATGGGAGGCCCCGGGATGGGCATGGCGAGGTAAGTCAACCCAGTCCCTCTATCGCAGCCTCTATAGTACTCATCCATTACGCTTGGACCGTATACTGCATGTAATCTGACTGACACCTCGGAAAATGTCAAATGGAGCCTATGGAACTCATATGCCGCAATAGCATTGCCCTCAAAGCGTGAGATTAACCATTCAAAGCCTGTAGTAAAACACATGATCATGCGTAACTCACAACGTAAAAGGCGAGTTGTGGCTGCTTTTTTTTTTTTGGTTGCGTTTTGCGATATGGCACGCTGTTTTTGCATATAGAAAGCTCAAGGATTGAACGAGGGATGCGTGTGTAGTGTGTGTGTAGTGTGTAGCAGGAAAGGTAGGGAGCCAGGATCTAGGATTAAACATGCGATAGGTGCGAGGGGAGAGAATGCATCAAACGGGCAGATGTAGTAGTGGTGCGCCTGTGTGGATGAAATACCTAGAAAATAGGTAGTTTATACGTGTCTAAGTTTATAGTCTATACGTGATGCAATATAGTATCCCCGCTGTCCATCGCTACACAAACAGTCCATTAATGGCTTCAAACGCAAGCAGTGTGACGCGGTGATGCAAGCAGCAGAAGACATGGCAAGGAAGCAAGAATCTCTGCTGCATGTAGTCTTGGCACGAGATATTCCCATATTTGTGACAACCGTGACCCAAAATACCACACGTTGGCAGTCTGTATTTGCATGTGTGGTATACCAGAAACAATGGACATTCTTAATAATAGGAAGTGCTAGTATTTGTGCCTAATTATGCCATTTTTTGCTTATGGACCTGTACAGAAGGCAATTTGGGGGCTAATAGCCGACTGTGAATGAATATATGTAAGAGGAAGGACATTATAAGCCATTCTGTTACTGCAGCATCACCATTAAACATACATCTCAGGTCCCTTCCTGTGGCTCAGACAAAAATACACACATGACATGTTAGTGCCTATGAACCAACTCGGACTATGAAGAGCACAAGGACTGGCCTCCTACTGGTGCCCAGAGTCAGGCGAGGCAGTGTTTCATATTCATATTCGGTGGATCACTGACTTCCTGACGGACAGGAAGCAGCGAGTGCGTCTGGGGAAGAATGTCTCGGACTCTCGGATTATAAATACAGGAGCCCCACAGGGCTGTGTTCTTTCTCCCCTGCTCTTCTCCCTGTACACCAACCACTGCACCTCCAGCCACGACTCCGTGAAGCTGATCAAGTTCGCGGACGACACCACCCTCATTGGACTCATCTCCAACAACGATGAGTCCGCCTACAGGAGGGAGGTGGTCCGGCTGGTGTCCTGGTGCAGTGGTAACAACCTGGAGCTGAACGCCCAGAAGACAGTGGAGATGATTGTGGACTTCAGGAAGAGCACTGTCCCCCCGCCCCCACCCTCCGTGATGGACTCCCCCATCACCTCTGTGGAGTCCTTCCGTTTCCTGGGCACCACCATCACCCAGGACCTCAAGTGGGAGCCGACCATCAGCTCCCTCATCAAGAAGGCCCAGCAGAGGATGTACTTCCTGCGGCAGCTCAGGAAAGCCAAGCTGCCTGCACAGATGTTGGTGCAGTTCTACACGGCCATCATCGAGTCCATCCTCACCTCCTCCATCACCGTGTGGTTCGCTGGAGCCACAGTCAGGGACAAACAGAGACTACAGCGCATTGTGCGCTCTGCAGAGGAAGTGATCGGCCGCAGCCTTCCATCGCTGCAGGACCTGTACGTCGCCCGAGCTCGAGGCCGGGCTGGTCGTATCACAGCCGACCCCTCTCACCCTGCACATGGACTATTCCAACCACTCCCCTCAGGCAGGAGGCTGCGGTCCATCAGGACTAGAACCTCCCGCCACAAGAACAGTTTCTTCCCCTCTGCTGTTGGACTCTTGAACACTTCTTAACCTGTCCCCCCGCCCTTTATAAAGTCACTTTACTGCCCATCATACGTCACTTTACTTCACTGTACTGCTGTCACCTTACATTGTGTGCACCATGTGCACTTGTATATTGTAAATAGTAACTGTAACTCTATTTTAAATTTAAATTTATTCTTTAGAAGTGTTTTTTATTCTTATTTTTATTATCTCTTTTTGACTGTTGCACTGAGCCAAAGCAATTTCCAAGTCTGTGACCTCCCGTTACTTACGTTGGCAATAAAAATGATTCTGATTCTGATTCTGATTCTGATTTATGCAGCAATAATCCGGGTCAGTCTTCCTGAAAATGTGAGAAAGGTTTCCACGCTGACATTTCTCAAATCCAGATTTAAAACGGTTCTAAGCCATGCACACAACTGAAGGATTGTATGTTATGTAATGTGATGATTAATGATTTGTCTATCTTGTTTGTTAGGCAATTAGAGTGGCCTTGTGAACTCCAATAAACTTGCCTTGCCTAAATACCAATATTTTTGTGAATTCGAGGATATAAAGCAGTTTAGAGAATTGCTTTTTCCCCACTCTGTGTGCGCTGTCATATTGTCAGGGCACATCATTAAGCATTTTATGTATCTTACAATCACTGTTGCTTATGTATTGTTGTAGGTATGAATAATGCCTATGATAATGATAATTGACAAGAGCAAAGATATAGTCTCTGTCCATGGTGCTGAATCCTGACTTACTGTATATCTCTGCATTTGCGTATGTTTTCCTACTCCCAGTCCCTGTTAAGTCTGTGTTTGGTTACATGCATGAAGGGGCTATCCAGCTGTCCTGTGTAGAGTGTGTCTGCTTCAGTGCTGCTGCCATCCACAACGCCTCCTTAGGGTTGGATGCAGTGGGCGACAGAGATGTGTTTTTGCATATTTCTCCATCTGAGGTTGATGTTTCCAATGAACCAATGAACATCTTAGTGTGGTGCGGGTGCGGAGCTGGCTGTATGTTGGCAGTGAAGCCTGGTTGTCCATAGACACAAGTGTAAGCTGTGGTCATGAAGACTGAGAGGGACTTATTGTTAATGTGAGCTGCTTTATCACGGTTTTGAATGCTTTTTATTGTTACAAACATATTTTTTCCATGTGTGTAAATCTTCAGTTGATTTAGTTGATCTTCAAGGTACTGGCGGTGCAAAGTACTGCTAGAAGGGCTATCCTGCCAGGGAGTTATAGGAGCTTAGGATAAGGTTTAGGCTCAAGAAAATAAAAAAAACATATGATTTGAGAATTTACAGTATTACCTCATAATAGATCAGTTAATTCTTCTTAAAAAGGGCAATAAGTACACATCAGTATTTACACAATTAGGACCCTCTCACATTTTCTTACCGAAACATGATTTTGAATGCGGCATATTAAAGCGATATACCATATTCTGATAGAGTTGGTGTTGGTAGAGAGGTGCGTGCGTCGTTGGAAAACAATTCGACTGCGACGACAAACCTAACGATAACATACGGACTGTGATGTGAGCCGCAGGACTCCACAGAGTAATGACCGGTTGTGGAAGAAATAGCGCTGCCCAGACGATGCTTATGCAGTAAACCGCAATCAGAGCTCCAGCGAGGATTTACTCTGGTGTTATTGTTCCACCAAAATACAGGTGTTTTATGGTTAGAGAGGAAACACACAACCCTATTCTGCAGAAGGTAACATAGCAGTATAGTCGAGAGCTGCACGATTTTAGAAATAAGTGGGATATACAATAATCAGGGGTGGGAAATGGCAAAAATGTGACGATTCGATAGTATTGCGATATTTGGGCCTCAATTCAATATTATTGCGATTCTCTTGGCATACGGCGATATGCATGTGTTGCGATTAGATTCAGCGATATATTGCAATTCATGTTCCTCATAATGTTCTAAGGCATTACACAAATTAAGAAAAAAGTGCAAAACTGTTAACCTTGAACATTCCGGACATATGACGTTATTACAGAACAAGACCTCTCATGTGAATGGTGAACTCCCAGCACACAACTTAATTTATCAAAATATAATAGACTGGAGTAACAAAAGGTAGACATAATAAAGTAACAAAAACCTCAAACCGCAATACTTTTCTCTACTGTATACATTTTATTGTGTGTGCAAATTATCAACGATACTAAACAGAATGGATGTTTCCCCTACCACTACTCAGTACATGCAAAGGCTTTCAAAATATTCAAATTTTCTTAAATGGTTTATTATTGATGCATTTGTTTGTCTTTCCTCTAGAATCTAGATTAAAGGAAAACCCAATAACTTTGTTCTTGTCATAAAAAAAAAAATGCTTTTAAGTTTTTACTCTTACACCTTTGCACCTTGAGCCAAAGCAGATTCCACTGTTACTTGGATTACACAATGGAAAAAACTATAATTCTGATTCTGTTTCATCATCCATCCATCCATTTTCTTCCCCTTAATCCATTTCTGGGTTGGGGGGGTGACAGTTAGAGCTGCACCCAGGGCACACATCACCAGCCCCTCACTGATCCTCCTGCAGGTGGTGAGTCCACATGAGCCTTGATGTTTTAGTAGGGGCTTCAGGCATAGTGGGGTTGAGTGTCTTGCCCAAGGACACAACAGCAGCAGACATCAGTGGGGGTAGTTGGAGTAGATCTCATGGTTTTCGAACCTACGACGTTCAGGCTCAAAGGCCAATCCTCTACCAACTGAGCCACTAATTATAAACCAATGTTTTCAATGAGTTACCAAATTGAAAATCCGAGTCAGAAGGTTGAGTGTTCCAATTCCTCAGCGAAACTGGAACAAACCATCTGCGTTTCATTCTGCCGTCATACAAACTTAATGAGGCATATGTCTATCCTGTTTAGACAAATACAAGGAGATTTCCAGGTTTTGTGAAAAGAACTTTGAGTAAAAGGTCCTTGAACGTATGACTTCCACACAACTTCTGCTGAATCCTGTCCGGTCTTTTCTATTTTGTGTTTCTTCTATGGGATTCCCCTTTGGCAAGCTCAGAACGCAAATACTTTTTACGATTTGAGCAGAGCTTGCCAAGTGAAGATGCCCCACTTCTGCTCTTTATCTCAGAGTGGATTACCTAATGATGTCACAGCATTCCAAACGCCCCTGGGTAAAACTGAGGTAATGGTGGCATTCAGAGCACCCAAAATACTGTAATACTGATTTAGTACTATATTGTAAGTAGAATTTTGTTGTATTGTTTAGGTGTTTAGGGGCGACAGTAGCTCAGTTGGTAGAGCATTGGCCTTTGAGCCTGAAGGTCGTGGGTTCGAGCCCACCTCAAGACCTACTTCACAACTCCCACTGATGACTGCTGTCGTTGTGTCCTTGGGCAAGACACTTAACCCCACTTTGCCTGAAGCTCCCACTGAAAGATCTCAGCTCCTGTGGACTCACCACCTGCAGGAGGATCAGTGAGGGGCTGGTGCTCTGTGGACTGGGTGCAGCTCTGACTGCCACCCCCCCGACCCAGAAATTAAGGGGAAAAAAATGGATGGATGGATGGATGTTTAGGTAGTTTTTTTTGTTTTTAGAATAACTACAGAAACCAGAAACAGGTAGCGGAACCCCTCCCCCTGCGAGTGTTGGGTTTGTGTTTTGGTCTGGTCTTGCTTCTCGCAGTGAAAGAGACTACTGGTTTCTCTGCACAAAATGCCAAAATGGATGTTTACAAGCTTCTGAATGAAAAGTTTGATTTAACAAAATTGTCAGATTGGTTGAATGACAAGACCAAATGTATGTGTGTGTATTGTCGGTGTGAACTGGTTATCACCGCAGCACATCCACTTTGAAATACACCTGATTCTAACAAACTCCGCCGCGTTCTAGTGACGACATATGGACAGTGTAACTCAGAACTAACTTTTTCACTTTGCTACTTTATTTTGTATTCCCCTGTTTTGATCCCTTAGAAAGTTTAGTTGACGCGACTACCTTTCAACTACCCTGATGTGTGTACTATTGTGTATTTCTCACTCACATTTTGCATCAAGTTTGAGTGTGAAATATAATTCTACACGTTTTCAATAAAAACACACTTTTTCTTACTCTCTCTCACGCTCTTTACTTCTCTCTCTCCCCCTCTCTCTCTCTTTCTGTGTGTGTCTCGCTCTCTCCCCCTCTCTCTGTCTCACCCTCTGTCTCTCTCTTTCTATGTCTCTCTTTGTGGGTCTCTCTCCTTCTCTCTCTCTGTCTGACTCACTCTCACGCTCTTTACTTCTCTCTCTTTCTATTTCTCTCTCTCTCTCTCTCTCTCTCTGTCTCTCTCTCTCTGTACGCAGCTAGACATAGAGAGCTGAGTGAGCAGCTTTGAACGCTCTGCCTAAGTGTGTGTGACAGGTGCCCGGGCAGATAAAGCTGAGGGCCAGGTCTGCACCACAAACAGGACAAGAGTGTCTCAAAGTGTGGGGTACGGACCAGTCGAGGAGGAGGTTGAGGTGGTGGCCTGCTGGAATTTGTGTATGCAGCAGTTTTAGTTTTTGAGTTATTAAAAGATGACGATGTGGTTATTTCAGATGCTGAGATCATTTGTGGTAAAACTGAACATTTTGGAGTCAACCTTTTAAATAAACTCAGAGACCTAACTTTATTTAAATGTCTGAAGCAAATGTTTATGGAACAAAACAAAACATTGTGCAACAGACTAATTATGTCTGTTACTTTCTTGCTGATGCAGGAGGGTCTCTCAGGATGGCCATGATTCAGTCATTTATGTATATTTATTAACATTTATGGCTCCTATGTGTCTCTTACTACTGTCTTTCCTGTGTTTGATTCTCTGTTCTGCTGTTGGCAAATCAACAACTTTAAAGTCCTCCAACCCGACTGCCGTTTTGATTTAGGGCTGTACAAAAACTAATTGAATGGAAATGACCAGTAGGCTGCGGCTAGAATAATAATTTGACCACAAAATAACATGATGGATAGATAGATACTTTATTGATCCCTGTAGGAGAAATTCAGGTGTCCAGCAGAAGCAAAAACACATCCATCCACACAAACAAAACAAATAAATTAATAATTCTAAAAAGCTAACAATAGTAATAATAAGAAACAGCACTATATAGTTATATATACAAATTGTTATATACAGCGGCTAACCCCTAAAGAGGACATCAAAAACTGACGTTTCACATGTTTGGATTATAGTCTTCTGTTCTGTGGTTCGTAGTCATGAACTTGTCTTAGTTTGTGGGTTGGTTTTGCTGTAGTGTAAGTATAGGAAACTCCTTTCTCCTATAGTGCAGTGTGTCTCTGCAGTGAGATCTCTTCATCCGTGACACATCCACGCTCCGGCCTGCTGCCTTCAGGGACTATGGGAATGACTGGATATAACACACACGCACACACACGCGCGCGCAGACACACACACACACACACACAGGCTCGAGTAAGAATAACCTAGCCTGGTCGTACCACATCATAGTACAAATTACATTTCATACTAAGGTCTGGAGGTGCTCCATTGAGCTCCGTTTACAGGTGGGAGGGGTTAACTCCTTTTGCAGATTGAAACGATTGGATCTGAGTTTACCGTGACGTATGTAATGCGCCTGAGTCTGTCGTTAGCATTTAGCCTAGCCATCTCCTTTGCCCTAACGGAGCCCGTGGGGAGTAGCGCTACAATCTTTTCCAGCGATTACATTTGCTAAACATTCCTCTTGCTCTGGCTTCAATTTCTTGATAGAACCAAACCGGAGTACTTTACTATTGCATTTTTCGCCATTGCCAAACCACAACCTTCCCGTTCGAAGCAAACTCTTGACATCACCCACAACTAACTACAACACCTGCCTCCCGCGCTCTCTGAATGGTCGGTCGAAATTCAACCGATTGTAATCGCAAACCCAGGGACTAGACCCAGACGTTACATGCAGGGAAATGATGCTTGACCGAAGTGTACGGATGGCTAAGGCCAGGCTAAGAAGAACCAGGGCTGAACGATTTGGGGTTAAAAAGAAAATCAAAATGCGTTACTTAAAACATTGGCTTTATCACTAGTTCTTGGATCTTGGTCATGTAATTTTATCAAACGTCAAAGTGAAAATAGAGGATCACCCTCACTTGGCCAATCCACTCTCGGCCCAAAGCATCAATTAGAGACTCACAGGGATCTTTCATACACTCTTTCTAACTAGTGCAAAAGCACATTAATTATAATAAATGTTAATGCTAGTGTATGCTTGTCCCATCAGAAAGAACCTTGTGGAAGTGAAATATTGTGAACAATCAATCCTGTAACCCACTTGTAATAAAGAGCCACGTGACTCACTATTTGACACTTTGGGCTGAGAGCTGATTGGCTGTGAGTACGGTCCTCTTGTTTTCATGTTTCTGTCTCAAACAGCTTAACCATTTACTGTTCACTCCTTGCAGAAAGAAATGCCATTTTTTGGATTTTCTAAGATGTAGGAGCCCCAATAACAACAATAGTTGTATGTATGGATGTATTTTCTTTTGATTTGAACCACATAGTTTATTTTAATGATAGGCCTTTACCAAATGGTTGAGATGCATCTTGATGCTAAAAGTGCCAGAACTCCTTGCTAAAACCAAGGAGCGAAACCGTAAAAGGGTGAGATGTGACGGAGGCCAAAAATACACAAGACACAATACAAACAACATCTATTATTTGTGTGGGGACTCCATCTTTAAACCAGTAAATTGAGAGTTTGAACACTCCATATCTTTTCACGCTTTTCCATTCTTGTTGTTGAATACAATCATTTAGCTGACTAGAGCACAGTTTGGCCCAGTAACAAACTTTAGTATTATTATAATGACTTTTTAATTGTATCATCTGTAGGGAGACTATATTCACTCGTCCAGGGACTGCAGATGAAAAACACCCTTCTTTGCCAATTCTGCTGCATTCACACGTCCTCGTCAAATAAACTAATAAAATGAATAAAGTGAGCAAAGATGGAAAGCCCTGGTGATGTTCAGACTCCAGCTCAGACTGATGGGGTTGTGAGCACACGCCTGGTTGACCACATGTGTATATATATAACTGCAGAGGAGCAGAGTGCAGTATTTATGAGAGAACACATGTGATCTGCCAGGTCACATGGTGCTCCTCCTCTTCCTCTGTCACACTGGGATTCTCTCCTCCTCCTCTTCCTCCTCCTCCTCCTGCTGCAGCCCATCATACATCCTTTTAGATCGATCTATGCTATACGCACAGATCCTGGTTTTTAACTGTTCCTGTCTCACATCCGAATACGTTTTTCTGTCGTTGTAAGTAACAGGAAGTCACAAACTAGGAATTTATTATAGTTCATGGTGCAAACAAGTTATAACAGGAAAAATAGCTGTATGGCAAGCTTAAAAAAAGTATATCCCTCACTGTTTAACAGCTAATCAAGTGATAATTAGTGTATATTTTATAGTTAATTATCTCCTAATTGGTATGAATCAAGCACTTTTTAGTCTTTATTCTACATGAATTAATCAAATAATAATTAATGAGGGTTTGTCTTAAAGGAATAGGCCACCGTTTTTACATACTGACATATGTTCTTACCTTACCTTAGACTAGTTGATATGTACCTGTCTGGTCTTTGTCCGTGCGCTCTGTCATGCAAACGGAGCACAAACACAGCCTCTTCCACAGACTGTATAGTACCAAATCAGCCCCCCTTTAGAAGCTACCAAACTCTTCCACGTGTTCCCTATTTAAATACAGTTACGTGACGTGTTACTCTACAAAGTATAGTAACACGGAAATGTAACATGTCGATTTTCTCAGCGGATAAAAAGGGGTACTATATTGTGAGGCGTAATAATACGAGGAGCACTACGTCCGCGCACTAACTCTATTGAGTCGCACTGCTTCTATTGACGGAAGTGAGCGGGAGAGAAGTCTTTAGGAGTTAGTGCGCGGATGTAGTGCTCCTCGTATTATTAAGAGTTTGGTAGCTTCTAACGGGAGCTGATTTGGAACTTGGCTGCGTTTGTGCTCCGTTTGCATGACAGAGCGCACGGACAGACCAGACAGGTTTCATAAAAACTAGTCTAAGGTAAGAACATATGTCAGTATCTAAAAACGGTGGCCTATTCCTTTAAGTGTTGCTAAAATCATCATAGAATTTATACAAGTCAGGGTGCTTGTGCAAGTCTTGAAAGTCTTAATAAGTATGGAATTTTGAAACACTGTTTTCCAGACATTGAAAAGTCTTAATAAAGCATGGGGAAAAAAATTATGGTAGAATTTTACAGTATGCTCAAAGGCATTGTGAATACTGTTCATTGAATACTAGCCAATAAACATTATTGGCTAGTATTATAAAATTTCTAATAAACACAGTTGGTACAGTAATATTTTTGTCTTTAGAATGTGAGATAATACCCTGAGCAGCCATGTTATCGGCCTGCCCTGTCCCTATGCTGCCACCAGAGGGAGCTGTAGAAGTTTTCTCAACATTTTCATAACTAATTCATGGGATATACTTTTGTTTTAAAAAGCAAAAAAACCTGGGCGCGCCCCTAGGTTTCTACCACTGGGTTTTTAGCGTTTTTCCTTGCAGATGTGGGATGGTCTGACTCTAAGGAAACCAAAAATTCAACAACATTTATGGGCTTTTTCAACATTTATGGACATTACGCATCTGCCCCTTTCTGGACCAATGGTGTTTTCTATCATTACATTTCTTGTATTTGAACTGTTCTGATTCTCTGATCTGTTAGCGAATCAACAGTTTTCTAAAGTCCTCAGAGATAACAACTGTTGTGATTTAGGGCAAAATAAATAAATAAATAAACATAAACTGAATAAAATTGAAAACGGCTCTGAGTATGATGGCTCAAGGTTCAACGCCTTTATGGTATCTAATGTCAGGAATTTCTCGCAAAAATTGGCAAAAACACATAGCCCTACCCCCGCTGTCGGAAGGCCACTATCTCAAACCTGTTGCGCTATGGTTAAAACGTATTATCTTACAGAGAAGGAAAATATGTTATATATATAGCAAACACACTTACTTGCTAACTTGTAAGAAAGAGGCATGTGAGCAATTGTTTGAGGCTTTGGGCTGAGAGCTGATTGGCTGAGTGACGTGAGGTTGAAAACTATGTACCTACAGTATTGATTTTAGTGCATTTTGGAATTTTCCATATTTATTAGTCTATCTATAGGACTTTAAAACCTGCATATTGAATTATGCAAAATTCAAATTTAGAATTCCCAGTAATTTAGAAGTACTTGGTTGTAAGCGCGCACACACACACACACACACACACACACACACACACACACACACTGTCCACTTTCTGAGGCGACTCAAATCTTTCCTCGACTTGAACCTCGCTGAATTATGCATGAGAACAAACCCCTTCTGTCCCCTTTGTTTTTACATCACTCTGTCTCCCTCTCTCTCATTCCTCTCTCCTCTCCTCCTCTCACTTTGTCTCTCCTCCCCTCCACCTCCCTCCTCTCCTTTTCTCTCCTCTCCCACCTTATCTTTCCTCCTCTCCCCCA